TCATTTAGTATTCCTTTTCTCTCGGAAATACGTCACAACACTGGAGGAAATTCGTTTTCAACTTCTGGTTCACGGGGAGTTTAACACTACAAATCTTATTAATGACACCTATGGAAGCTTGTTTCCACCACAGAATAAAAATGATAAAGGTAATTGTGACTTTTTAATTACACAATTCTGACTTTTTTTCTCACAATTGCGAGTTACATCTCGCAATTCTGACTTTATTTGTCAGAATTTCGAGATATAAAATCGCAATTTTGTGTTATAAAGTCAGATTATATTAAGTCAAAATTGCGTGTTGTAAAGTCTGAGATTGTGAGATATAAACTATTCTGAGGGGAAAACTATCCCCCCCCCCCTTTTATTATATCTCATAATTCTGAGAAAAGATGTCAGAATTTCGAGATATAAACTCACAATTATGTGTTATAAAGTCAGAATTGCGAGATGTAAACTCGTGAAAAAAGTCAGAATTGTAAGATAAAAAGTCGCAATTCTGTCTTTTTTTCTCAGAACTGCGACTTTATTTCTCAGAATTGCGACTTTATATCTCCGAATTGCGACTTTATTTCTCAGAATTGCGACTTTATATCTCCGAATTGCGACTTTATTTCTCAGAATTGCGACTTTATATCTCCGAATTGCGACTTTATTTCTCAGAATTGCGACTTTATATCTCCGAATTGCGACTTTATTTCTCAGAATTGCGACTTTATGTCTCACAATTGCGACATCGAATTGCGACTTTATATCTCGCAATTGTGACTTTATTTCTCAGAATTGCGACTTTATTTCTCAGAATTGCGACTTTATATCTCGCAATTGCGAATTTATTGCTCACAATTATGACTTCATATCTCGCAATTATGAGATAAAACGTCGCAATTATTATTATTATTATTTTTATTCAGTGGCGGAAACAAGCTTCCACCCCGCCATTTCCATGACACAAGCCCCCAAAAAATCCAAAAAGGACAAAAAATTACGATTTTTCCGTCACTGGAAGATTTTTTCCAGACAAAAAATACATAAATCTCTCGTCATAGGGGGATATGAGGGTGGAAAGCATGGTACTTAGAAAATATTACAGGTTTTCTACTAATACAAAGCTTAATGCTAAATCCTGAAGTATCTCTTTAAGTGAAACGACTAACGACAAAACTTTAAAGAAGCTTTCTGTGTGAATCTGATGAAAAGATTGGTGAAATGAGCTTTAAATGGATTAGTTATCCAGCTCTGTCTGCTACTGGTAATTACGACTATTGTGTCATTTATGATTTTTATTTAAAAATAAATAAATAAAAAACCAGAACCGACGTTGCCCATCCTTGTCCTATACAATAAGTCACAGCGGTTACTTCGTTTCAAACAGGCCCAGTGTGGTTAAAAATACACTTTCTGTTCTAGACTCATTCCCTATTTCTGTTTTGTGGTGTTAAGTTTTGCCCATAGCAATAAAGCAATAGATGAATAAAGGAGGGAAAACTGTCACTTGGTGGCAGAATACACACAGGAATTGATTCTGTTATGTTATCGCCTGCGGGGAAGTCAAACGCCATTTGTCATAATGTCAAGTTGAGCACTAAAAATACACCACTTCAGCACTGCACACCTGCAAAGTGACCCCTTTTAAATGTGTCAGATCATTTAGCTCATTATGTGAGACAGATGGAGAAGCCTTTGTGTTGAGCCTCGCAGGAGCCGTATTCTCATACGAGCCCGTCTGAAGCGACAGAGCTGTTCACGGCAGAGCTCGCTCACTAAAACACCTTCATGTGATTGTGTTTACATAGTTTCATTAAAAGTGCACACTGGTTATCTTAAACAGACTGTATATAAACAATAGATTTTTTTTTTAATTGAATGTAAATAAAATGACCAATAAATAAATAAACCATTAAAATGACATTTTTAATTGAACAGGAATTTAATTATATCAGGAAAGAATCAATTCCTGCATGTATTCTGCCACCAAGTGTGTTTGTTTATTTGTTTTTCCTTTTTTAATTTATTGCTTGAAATAACAGCCTGAAAAAAAGAATTTTGTTGTTGCTGCTATTTTTTTATTTATTGACCATTCGAGACATATGTTAAAAAAAAGGCTTTTATGATTTAATTTATTGATCTCCAAAAATTGTACACACACACACACACACACACACACACACACACACACACACACACACACACACACACACACACACACACACACACACACACACACACACACACACACACACACACACACACACACACACACACACACACACACACACACACACACACACACACACACACACACACACACACACACACACACACACACACACACACATATATATATATTGCACAGCCCTTATATATATATATATATATATATATATATATATAAGGGCTGTGCAAAAATTAATTGCGATTAATCGCATCCAAAATAAAAGTCTGTGTTTACATAATATATTTGTGTGTGCTGTATATAATTATTTTGTATATATAAATACACACACATGCATGTATTCATTTAAGAAAATGTGTTATTCATATATAAAATATTTATATTTATATAATATAGATTATGTATATATATATATATATATATATATATATATATATATACAGAATTTAAGCACAAATAATTCTTAAATATATACATGCATGCATAGGTATTTATATACAAAATAATTATAAACAGCACACACAAATATATTATGTAAACACAGACTTTTATTTTGGATGCGATTAATCGCAATTAATTTTGTAATTATAATTTAAATATATATATATATATATATATATATATATATATATATATACTGTATATATATATATATGTATATATATATGAATTACTGAAATATAAATAAGTTTATAGTAAAAACAATGATATGGTCAATAGCAAGATTTATTTAGAGCCAGATGCATATATTAAAAATGCATTTAAATATCAGTTCAGACTTTCTTATTTAATTAATTTAATTTAATATTTAAAATATTTGATGATAATTTTTATTGTGGTGAGTATAATACACCATGATACAAAGCAGTTTAATGATAATTTAACTAAAAAATACATGCTATATCATACTTGATACACACATTTTCAAAACAATTTACCATAATTTAAGTTGCTTAAATCTTTTAAATGTTCATTTCAAAATTAGCGAACAATGTTCATTTCAAAATTAAGGCATATATATATATATATATATATAGGTGAGCATTGATCATGGTAATGCTAAGTTGACATATGACATATGTTGCTTTGATTTGTGGTCTTTTTGATGTATGCACCACCAAATTTGACTCTATTCATGCAAAGAAGAATAAAGACATACAGTAGGAAAATGAATTTCACTGTTTCTGATCCCAAGAGCTCATAAACACAATGAGGCTCAGCTTTTATTCTTTTGATGAATCTCTTACTCTCAGCATTTGAATTGTAGAATCAATTTCAGTGTCGTGATCGCGAATGAACAATGTCTCCATCTGTGTAAACAAAGCACATGTAAAGTAGCAGATGAATATGACAGCTGATTTAACCTTAGTGTGATCAGTGAGAGGGGGTGTGTGTGTGAAGTGTGGCTGGATTCATCATGAAGTGGTCAGTCAGCTGTGTAAATGGAGCTTATTTGATGCTTGGTTTCACTCACAGAGGAGGAGTATGCAGATTCTCATCTGGACCGGCATGACTCCTGGCCAAAGCAGCCAACCAAGACACCTCGTACCACACACACACACACCCATTATGAGGAGAGATTTGCAGTCAGATCACAAGCTCACAACAAAGAGTGAATGATATGAAATTGGAGAGTCAGTTGTACAAAAAGTCCTTGATGTGAGAGAATAGAAGGCGGTGTTGCACTTGCTGTGTGGAGTCGGTACATGACAAAAACCAAACGTACAAGTTCTGCTGTGCATGTGCTTTAATTGGATTTGATTCGGCCACACATAACTAGACTAGCTAAACAAAGCCCTTATTTTGTCAAGTCAAAATGGAGAATTCAAATAAATAAAGCAGCTTGTTGTCCCTATACATAAAAAAGCGAGTAATGCTTGAATGGCAAATGGTTTTCACGTGTATCCAACACAGTATTGTATAGCCTCGTCAACATTCGCTGTGTCAAAAAAAAGTAAATGTTGCGTTAAACATCACAAAATCACAATCCCATTGTATACCTGCAAAAAATGTATATTTAACATTCATATTAAATTATAAGCAAGAGAGGAAATGTAGCAAAGAATGAGGTATTAGGCTATATAACCCATCTGTGTCACGTGACAGTAACTGGATTTCAGGCACATTTGACTGCAGTGACGAAACCTACTGTTTACAGTGCGGTCCATAATAGATATAAGACTTAAAAAAAAAAAAGATTATTTCACTCAAATTGTTATGCTGATAATAAAATTCGTAATGAAAAATATATTATGATGCAAATAGCAGCAATAATGCAAAATAGCAGCATTTTCTCTCAGATTTGTTGAACGGTCCCAGTGACTCTATCAGGCCTATAAGCAAGATGTGGTCCATTGGTCCACCAGAGGTCGCGTTATCCGAAACATTTCCGCCATTGACAGATTTTTTTATATATATTTTAGCAGTGACTGAAAAATATGAAAGGCGTCCCTCATTTTGACAGATGTAGCCTATTGTAACTACGTAGTAACTGTAATTCTCACCTCTGTACACTTGGTGGCGAGTGCGCTCTTGCTGACTATTAAGTTAATGGTCAACGAATGACTTTTCTGAGTTACGTACAAGCTGTTTTATTGAAGTCTTCCTGTGGTTGAAACCATAGATATCCATAATAAAGGCTAGAAGTCTTACGGCGGAGTCTCTTTCGTCATCACCGGCGGCCATCTTGTCACAGGCAAGCTGTGTGGTTCCTGATGTGAGATGAGTGATCAGCACGAACACAAATACTCTTATCTCGTTGAAATCTTGACGTATTTCCAAAGGCATTGGTTTCTTACAAACGTTATTAACGTGGTGGCTATGATTGTTTATATATACACTTATTATTCATACGTATGCAGTTTCATAACTACATCTCTGACGTTTATAACAAACCAAAACGTTTGAAAATCGGAAGAACATTCAGCAAGATATGATTATTTAAAAAGTACAATGCACCATTAAACACAATGTTACGAGTGAGCGACCTGCCTGTGACAAGATGGCCGCCAGGTGCAGACGTCGACCTCCATTGGCCAGCAGTGCGGACGATACATCTAGCCTTTATTATGTATATCTATGGTTGAAACACTGAGCGATTACATGAGATATAATATTGATTTCGGTAATTTATCTTACAAAATAGATATTTTTTTATGTTCGTTCATGTTTATTTATTTCTGTAACTTAGTAAAGAGAAAAGAATTGATCACGTTCACACGCGCTCCGCTTCGCTTGAACTTAATCTCGTGCCACATTAAAGAGCGCCAAAACGGTATTGTTTTGACTTTTTTGATAAAATGGACATAATTTGAAAGCTGAGACTTTGTTTCATATCAAAAGTAACAAAGCACAACGATTATTGCGATTTATTAGAGAAACATTCATGATGAAATCTGAAAAGCGAAGCACGGCCTGTGTTCAACTTTCGTAAATAAATAAATGCATAATCTTGCCTATATGCTTGTCCTGTAAGCTTGTGAATAAAAATGAAAATGGGAACAAAACCAAGCCTATTAAATGACTTATTATTATTAAAATGTAAAAATTAAAGTGACAGGTAATAATAGATTACGGCAATATGTTTACGACCAAACGCGACCTCTGATTGGCACATAATGACATTAGTTTTTCTGCTCAAATTCATCGTAACGTGATATAGAAATGAAAAGCAGTGGCGTCTCTCTGGAGACAATAGGAGCCCTTGACCATTATTATGACAGAAACAACAGAACAATGACACTTAGCATTAGCTTTAGTCAAATATTGTACATTATATTGCACATTTCTGTCTTCCACTGACTCTTCGATACATTCAATGGCTTGACTGTAAGTGAAAACAGCATAGCAATCAGAAAACACTGTTTGACTGAATTGAGCGTAGACCAAAGGTGTAATTGTTGCCCAGCGGGGGAGTCTGAAGCCACCGCCGAGATTTCCGTCACCTTGGTTTTACTTTTCGATAAAAGTGTGAACAGCGTGTTACTGCGTCCTGTTTGCCCTAGAACAGGACCAACTGCACTTCCTGCAGGCACGACACACTGGCGCACAGCATCATGATGATTGGGTGCAAGCCCCCATTACCCTTCTAGGGAGGGAAGGAAAGCTTATGTGTGTGTGTTGGTGAATCTGTGTCTGCTCGCAATAAATGAGCAGCGTTCACCCATCCGTAGCGAACCTAATGGAAAAGCAAAGAGCATCATTACCTCAACTGATCTCTGCTGTGCCTCTCCCCCCTCCATTCTTTGAAAAATATGGACTGGACATGTCAAAATCCCTTTTCTGAAGGACACGCACCATTTAATGGACAGCTGATGTTGTGAAGCATCCTCAGGTGCAAGCTTGATTATCCGTTTGCAGCATTATTAACAGCATTATCTACAAACAGCATGCACATATACTGCCTAATGAATCATCTACAAGCAAACTTGCTCATCAAAAACTGCTCTTGAGAGTTTGCGTTTTACTTCGACAAGGTCATGAAATGATAGGGCAACAACAACTGTATGTTTTCCAACCTTTAGTAAGCAAATGCCCCTTCAGAACTGTCCTTGCATTAGTATCTTCATGAATTCCTCTCATGTTGAAATTTCATGATGCGTCATTACTTGGCCACCCCTATCTTTTACTAGTCCTTGCAGGTAAAACCATGAACCCGAGGTTTCACAATCCTCAGTTTGTTTGTTCCGGGGTCTTTGGAAATGCCTCCAGTGTTTCGCTTGCTGTAAGCGAAAGCACAGATGAGAAGGGTTGATAACGGCGTCAAAGTCATTATTCCTCCTGCTGCTCCACTGCTTTTCCCCTCCTCTTTTTGCCGCTCACAAAGAAAGGCAGTCTGAGAATCAAGATCGCCCTAAATACTCGTGCTCCAGTTGTTTACACGTAGTCGTGCAGACTATAGACGGCCTTGGGGTCTTGAATTCGGGTTCGGGATGGAGACTGGTACTGCTTGTCCTTCTCCGGGATCAATCTGTCCGGCACCTGACGATCGTCCGCTTGTAGCTTTTCCTGGTGTCGATGCGACTGCTCTCGTTCCGGCGGTTCAGTCTGACTCTGCTGTTCGCAGTGCTGCTGTGTCTGTTGGTCACGGCTCGGCTGCTCCTGGCGCAGCTTCTTCTGTTTTGGCTTGTCTGGGTGGGACGAGCCCGAATCCAATGTACCGCCTCTCCTTCCAGGACACGATAAGCAGAAGATCACCCCTGCGGCTAAAAGGAATCCTGCCGAGACGAACGCCACGTACACCGCCGCCCCCGGCTCGTACTTGCTGCTCTTGGGCACTTTGGAGTCCATGAACGTAGTGATGACCTCATTGGTGAACCAGGATGCGGGCACCAGACACAGGACCCCTGCCACGATGAAACAAGCCCCTGCGGAAATAGCCGTGTGTCCCTTAGAGCGATAACTGCCACCCCATCGAGTGCATTTCAGCCCTAGGGCGGCCAAGCAGAGTCCCATCGTCGCCATCATGCAGGAGAGCACCATAGTGGTGCGTGCGGTCTGAAGATAAGCCGGCAACGCCAGGACCGAGTACTTAAGCGAGCAGCTGAAGACTCCGGTGCTGTACCAGGTGCAGTCCATCCACAGTCCCTGCATCTGCGAGATGGCAGTCATGATATTGTTGCCCACATCCGCACTCACCTTCCAGTTGGGTAGCAGTGTGGCCACCGTGGCACTCAGGACCCCCAGTAACGCCAGAATGAAGGCAAACATCTGCATAGTGGAGGACGGCATCATCGGTCCCGGACTTTGGGTTCCCGTCCCTCTCACCTTGCGGTGGCCCTCGCTTCCCTATCAGCCCGGCGCAGGACCTGACAGCAGATAATTCCTCCGCGCCGGCTCTGCTGGGCTGCGATAAAAACGGAATGAGAATTGAACTGAGCGAACAAGCGTGACGGTCTGACAGATGAGGCACGGGGTCTGATGAGTGGAAGGGAAAGCCGCAATTCTTTGTCCCACCCTATCCTTATTTGGGACATTTGTGTTTTAAGTGAACCAGTGAGCGTTTTGGGGGGAAGTGACTGTAGTGTTGAAAGGCTAATTGTTTTTTGACTTCGCTGCTGCAGAAACAGCCTTTGGGAAGGGTTATGCACATAAAAATGGCACATGACTGCTGCAAGGTAGAAATGGAGCCAATTATCTGGGCAGGGGCGGCTTTTTTGTTGGAGTTAATTGATTTCTGTCCCTTATCTGTGCAAACCATTTGACAGCTTGGAAATTAGAAAGGGAATGAAAATTACCCTTATCTTTTGTTGTCCTTGAATCTCATGAATTGATCAAGACAAGTGCATTGTGAGAGTGCGTTCTGTTTCATTTATCTGGGAACAAACAAAAACCCTTACTTACCCTTTCACGGGTGCGCGATGTATGCGTCAAGCTGTGCTGAAGAGATTTCTTCAAGCTGCTGAAGAAAAGAGAAGGCAAAAAGAATTACTGAAAGAAAAAACTACTGTAAAACTGCCTCTTTCTTTTCAAATAGCATCTCCTTGGCAACCCAGCATATATGTCTAAAAGCTTTTCAGTGTCCTGTGAAAGAACCCCCCCATACGTTCCTGATTGTGAGTGACTGGATGTTTCAGCGTGTGATCAGTAATCACTGTAGGCTGGACAACCCACTTGAAGGTCAGTCAGAAAACACAGGGTAAAGGGGATATGCAAGAAGAGGCGATGGAAATGATGATACTTGATTTTTCTGCAGAAAATCCATTTCGATTACATGTGGCAGGCAATTATCTATGGCTGCACTATCACACACAGGTCAGTAGAAATAGGCTGCTGATTGTGGAAATTGGGGGAAATAAATGTGTTCTCTGTCACTCGAGAGCTGCTAAATGGACAAAGACATTTCTTCAAAGAACCTACAATAAAAAATAATTTGTATATATATATATATATATTTTTGTTTGTTTTATGTTTTGTAATCTCATGATCACACAACACTGTAAAAAATATTGTTGGTTTAACTTAAAAAATTAAGTAACCTGGCTGCCTGGATTGAGGTGGAATTGAAATGGAAAAATTGAGTTAATACAATGAAGGAGATTTAATCGTCAGAAACTCAAATGATTTAAGTTGAAATGACAAAAGAAAAAATTTTGCGATTACAAATCATGAATATATATACGTATATATATATATATTTTACAGTGAAACAGCAGTTTTATCGCTGGAGGTCATTTCTGCATTTTTATTTACTATAATGCATTCTTACTGCTGGATTCTCTAGTGTTATTGGTGGGCTGCACAACTGGCTTTTGACGATGTATTGCCTGAGATAGAGATAGAGAGAGAGAAAGAGAGAGAGAGGGGGGGGGGGGCACTATCTGCTCTTCTGTTCCAAATATATTAATATAAGAGAAACCTTTCTGCCCAGATTTAAAACCTCGATTCCATCATTCATCAGAAAAAAATGTCCTTCTTACTCGGAGAAAATGATAGTACAGCTGCACTAGCGGCTAAATATGTGTTAGCTATTCACAACGCCAGAGACCGCTAGTTCTCTAAAGACCCACTGTGGTTATTCATTTATCAAGATTGGTTGTGTTTATGTATCTATTTGTTTCTATGCCACATGACATGATCTATACATATATGTTTTGTTTGTTTGTTTTATTTATATATAATAAGTAATCGCAACATTTTTTCTTTTGTCAAATCAACTGAAATAATTTATGTAGTTCAGATAACATAATATTTTGAGTTTCTGGTGATTAAATCAATCTCCTTTATTGTATTAAGTCTTTTTTTTCCCATTTCAATGAACTTAAAATTCTAAGGCAACCAGGTTACTTAATTTTTTTAAGTTAAACCAACATTATTATTTTACTGTGAAGTTGATGCTTTGGCAACATTGTTGTTGCACAGTCATGCTAGTATAGCAAATTTGAAATTGAAATTAAATTGAAATTGAGAAAGAGAGAGATTTAGATTTGGACAATGAATCTGTTATTGCTGATAACAATGATGACATAATGCAGAGGAAAGTGTTTGTATGTAAATTGCAGCAACTATCATATTTTGAACAAGATGAATGATTATTAATGAATGAACAGCTATAATTTTTGGCACTGTTTTTTACTTTTTCTCTATGATGTTGCTGAATGTGGACAGATACAAATCATGTAAATGAGTCTTGACTACACTGCACTACAGTATCTCATATAAATCATATGGTTGTACTGTATGGCCTTGACTGTAATAATAACCCTCAAAACAATACATTTAATGTGTTCATGCTGTCTGTGTCAGTGTACAGTTTGTCTGATTCCTCACATCTGAGAGACGTATAATGTACACAGGACACAGTAGTTTGACTTTCTAAGCAAATTAAATATTCTCATATTATTCAGTGGTGGACAGTAATAAAATACCATTTACTTTATACTGTATTTAAAGTGATGGTTCACCCAGAAATGTAAATTCTGTCATATTTTACTCGTCCTCAAGTTGTTCCTGTATGAATTTCTTCTGTTAAACACAAAATAAGATATTTTGAAGAATGGTGGTGACCAAAAAATTGCTGGTCCCCATTGACTTCCATAGTATTTTGTCCCTTTAACTGTTTGTTTACCCATATTTTTCATAATGTCTTCTTTAGTGTTCAACAGAAGAGAGCAATCCATACAGTTTTTTTCACTGCAGTTTTAAGGAGAAAATATGCATTTACACATGCATTGTTTTAAAGTATATTAAAAACATTAAAAACTTGATTTTCATTTTTGAATTGTTTTTAAGTTATATTATCTTGTCAGTTTATGTATTTTATTGTCTAATTTTGTTTGATTTTACTGCACTTTGGTCAGCAGTGGCTGTTTTAAACGTGTTTTCGAAATAAAATTGCCTTGCTATGGTTAGTTTAGAAATGTTTGGTCAGGAGAGGCTCGAGTCCCAGGACTGATCTTGTGTATTGTGGCATGTTTAGCCTCTGGATGTTTGTAGGGCGTGGGAAAATATAATGGAAATTCTCTTTTCTCGAGGGATGTTTTTTCTCTCACCACAGCTCACTTGGTCATCATAGAAACTATGATTTGACACAAGTTTCAACTAAACGTGTAACAGGAAAGAAACTAAATCAAAAGGTTCATGGAAAAAGATGAGTATAAACTTATAAAACTTCTTTTATTATTATTATTCAGATGTTGCTAAACACTAAAATAAGTAAAATGGCTTTGGGGAGGAGAGATTAGATGGTTTAAATCAAATTGCAAGAATGATCTCGGTAAGATTTATGTCAGAAGTTTATCTAGCATGCATAACATTTTTAGTTTTATCCAGGTGGCGACGCATTGTGAAATATTCCTTGCATAATCCACCAAAACAAATACTGTATATGACAATATTTACACACTTTTTTGTAAAAAGATTTTTTTTATGATTTTTAAAAAGTCTCTTCAGCAAAGCTGCATTTATTTGATTAAATATACAAAAAAGTAGTAATATGGAGAGAATTATTACAAGAAGAATTATTACAATTTAAGAATTATTACAATTTAAAATTGTTTTCAGAACTGTTTTCTATTTGAATATATAATATTAACATGCAATTTTACCTGTGATCAAAGCAGAATTTTCAGCATTATTATTTTTTAAATGCCTTTGAACGGCAGTGTATGATGACCTACAGTTCACATCAATACACAAAGGAGAAAAAAACCCTGCTTAATCTATTTTATCTATATATATATATATATATATATATATATATATATATATATATATGAAGAGTTCAGATGCAAAAGCCTCTAAATGCCATTTGAAATTTTCTTCTTTAATGATGATTTTTATCAAACTCGTATATATAAGTTCAGTAATTTCACTTAAATAACAATTAATAGGTAATTATCATTGCCATTTAAGTGAAATCACTGAACTTAAATATACAAGCTTGATAAAAATGATCATTCTAGAAGAAAATTTCAAATGGCACTTAGAGGCTTTTGCATCTGAACTCTTCATATATATATATATATATATATATATTAATGTGTAAATATTTTATTTTCATAAAAATAATGTGAAATGTAGTTTGTCTGTTAAAATAATGTAAAATACCATTTATTAGAGCTTTTCAGACATCTTGAAATCTAAGGTGAACAGGGTCAGTAATGAAAACGGATGATCACAGATCAGTGGCACAGACAGAGACTGTAGATCTGTCGGCTAACAATGATATCTGGCTGTTCCAGCACAGCCCTGCACCATCACTGAAACCCCTCTCTCTCTCTGGCACCTACCGGCACAGCACAAGCTGCATTGTTTTTACATCTGACAAACACTAAATCATTGTAGTGATTAAAAGTGATTTTTCTTTGTCAATTTACTGGATTATACGTTTTCTGCAGAGATTGCTGCTTGAGAGAGAACTGCCTCCACAGTGCAAGGTGTTGATCTGAGTGGGTTTTTAACACATTGTTTATGGTTGCTAAGGTGTTTTTTTTTAACGTGTTGCTATGTGCTAAAGTGTTTTGAGTGGTTTTCTAACACAATGCAAGGTGTCACTGTGCAGCCACTACCGTGTTCACAGTGCTTTTTTAGTGCGCAGATGTGTTGTAGAAATCCTTCTTCTGAGTGGTTTGTCGCACACAGCGGTGTGGTTGCGTTTACACCGTTTTTTAACTAAAAGTGGAAAACTTTGTATGCATTTTGGCCATGCGTTTACTCGACCACTGTGTTTTGAAGGCCTGAAACAGTTTTCAAAGTGCACGTTTTTTAAAATAATACTGTATAAAAATGTGTTCAGTCTGTAGCATTTCTTTACAACGTGACATCGCCAACTACTGGCCTGGCATGATACAGCGTTTTTAGTCGTTTTCACGGCCCGGATCCCGAAAATGTTTCCAGGTTTAGTGCATCGTTGTTGTGTAAACGTCATTTTTTTTGCATGTTGTGGTGCAGTTACGAAGTGTTTTGAGTATTTTTGTGTGTCGCAATGCTTTTGTTTTTATTTATTTATTTATTTATTTTTATTTGTTTCAAGGATATCTCATTTTCGAAGGGGTCCCGATCTATTTACCTATTTTAACGTCATTGTGGTTGCTAAGGGGGTTTGCGTAATTTGTTTTCTCGATTCTACAAGGTTGTATATTAGCATTGCTAGGTTGCTTACTAGCTCAACTCAACAAACTTTAACTAAAGGCACGGTCAAAGTAGCTTTGCAGGCAAATAAGTGCATTGTCCTTTATTACGTAATGGTGTAATGCAGCTTACACTACCTGCCAAAAGCTATTGACAGGAGTCTCTTATGCTCACCAAGGCTGCATTTATTTGATTGAAAATGCAGTAAAAACAGTAATAATGTGAAATATTATCATAATAAAAAATGTTTTTTTTTATGTTGTTGTTTAAAATGTAATTTATTCCTGTGATGCTAACAAAGCTGAATTTTCAGAATCACTTTAAATTACTCCAGTGTCACATGATCCTTCAGAAATAAATTACATTATTACATGATTTACTGCGCAAGAAACATTTATTATATATATCGATGTTGAAAACATTTTTTTTTGGAAACTGGTACACTACCATTCAAAAGTCTAATTAATTAGATTTATATATAAAATAATAGACTTTTATTCAGGAAGGATGCATTAATTTGATCAAAAGTGACAGTAAAGACATAAAAGAGCAAAGTGCTGTTCTTTTGAATTTTCTATTTATAAAAGAATCCTGTTAATAATGCAAAACTGTTTCCACAAAAAATCTGTTTTCAACATTGATAATAATATGCATATTAGAAAGATTTCTGAAGGTTCATGTGACACTGAAGACTGGAGTACTGATGATGAAAACACAGCTTTGACATCACAGGAATAAATCACATTTTTAAATTATATCAACTTAGAAAAAATTACTGTTACTCTTTTTACTGTATATTATTGATCAAATAAATGCAGCCTCAGTGCGAATGAAGAGACTTCTTTCAAAAACATGAAGAAATCTACCAAACTTTTGACTGGCAGTGTATAGTGATCAATAATTTGCATTTTCAAAGTTTAACAAACATGACTGGATATGTCTGAGGCCCCTCCTTCAATTTATGTTTTTTGCATGTGTGTTTATATATATACTGTATATGTTTCATCAACTAGACAAAAATTCAAAAAGTCTGATAGTATTCAGCTAATAAACTGTAAATAATCTCCCATGGTGTCTAGTAGCTAATTACTCTCTGTATATGTTTATAGTAAAGAAAGAAAAGAAATATCTCACTAACCTGTATGTCTTGACAGCTACCACCAGAATATGCCAACACACATATTGATCAGCACACGTGTGTGACGTCCAGGTAGTGGGAGAGCGGGACGCCCTAAACGTGACACAGGGTGGGCGTCAGGCTGAGTGCGGCACACTCCCCATGAGCGCCATGCTGACGGTCATTGTGTCCAATCCCATAGTTCCCACTAATACTTTTACTGTACCAGAGCAAGACTCTGCCCTGAGACTTTCCCTCCGATATCTCCAGTTCTGGATGCAACTTGTGCCATGTATACAAGTCTAGAAGGCCCAAGAACTGTGAGTGAGATCCAAACCAGCTGATTCAGAGAATGACAAGGCTAAAAAGCAAACCGGAGAAAGCCAACGACAGGCTCTCTGAATGGTTTTGAGAGAGGAAATGAGGCAGAGTCTGCTTTGGTTACTTCAGCAATCTGTCAGTTCGTTTCAGAGCAGACAGAGGGCAGGGGAAGTCCAGCCTTGGGATCCGAGACACTGCTCTCTCCACTTCCCACGCTCTGCCTCATAAAGATCCGTGTTTGCTCCCGTCCTCCGGCTGCTTGTGTTGATAAGGATGGAGTCTCATTCACAGTTGATGTGTTGGAGAGGTGGGCCGTCTTTATGGTCCTCCACACTGATGTTACTGTGGCAACAGGCGCTTGGGCTGCTTTGCCATTTCCCCAACATCCATTTTCTTTTTTGACACAATTCCTACAGTATGCGTGTTCTATTCAGGTTCCTTAAAAGACACACTTGGACATTTCACTGAGTCATGTTAGATTTCAAAACTCATTTCAAATGTATTCTGAAAAAATAAATAACTTCTTGAGAGATTTCCCATTCAAAACCCATTTAATCCCACTGGTCACAATTGTGACTGCATCTTTTTTCTTATTTCTGGAAGCCCTAAAAGTTTTGTTATTGACTTTGGGCAAAATATTCAACTTAAATTACATAATAGATTGTCTTGATTAAAATCTATTAATGTCATGTGTAGTGTAATGTGACTCACATGACCAGATCAGTTTAATTCCGTCACCTTGGGGTTCTAAGCATGCGTCAAAACCGCCGCCATCTTGGAAAAGGGTCTTGTCATAGGAAGGACATAGGTAACGATGCTATCTCTGCCTTTACTTTCGAATTCATTGATGGTGGCGGACTTTTGTGCAGCGTATGATGTTCACGGATGAAATCTGAACAAGGAAGAATGTTTTTGTTTTGTTTTTTAATGTAAAAAAAAAAAAAAATTCTGGAATCAATGATAAATACATTTCTGACCGTTGGAACAAACCAAAAATGATTTATGGTGATTTCATTTCCGTTAGACCTGTGTCTACATTGATGCTGATGCATTACCATCACCAACATTGTTAACATTTGTTATCTCGGTTATTTACAGATACGTTAATGAAGTTAAGTGACTTGATGTACAACACATTTAGAAGCTAACGTTAACGTTTTCTAACGTTCGCCTAGCGTTACGTTAGAGATTTTAAAGATACTTAACTTGTCAGAATATAACAGATGTAGACATCCTTGTTTAATTTATCCACGTTTAGTTGGTGTTGTGGTCTACCGCATAACTTAATCGCATAACTTTATCCAGAGCAGACATTGATCTCGGTTGAGATGTGGCTTGGGAAAGGGTAAAAAAAAAAAACACCGTCGCCCAGGCTCTCAGGAACCTATTGTCGGAGTTGCATGTACCCCATGCACACCGGCTGACCATTTTAAACTGAAAATGACAAGAAAAAACTAATGAAAACTGACTAACTGCAATGCATTTTAATGGTAGTGGAAGCAGAGAATGTCTGAGTGTATTGGGTTAGCTGCGCACTGTGATTGGCTCATCGCGTTCGAGGGTGTGGCTTAGCCATAGGTCAATTGTGACCGGTAGTATAACAGTGCTCAGTTCAACTCATGAAAAAGGGGGGGAAAAACAAAAGTGTTGCGTTCATAATTTTGTTCAGTGTACTTATCAGAATCACAGAAATGTGTTGTTTCAATGTGTTGGACCTTCTAGACGTACGTGATTATATATATATATATATATATTTTTTTTTTTTTTTTTCGGAAAACTCCATACTTAAGTCACTCACCCATGCGTCTCTTCATATCCGTATTAGTAAATAGGATGTCCCGATACCACTTTTTCACTTCCGATACCGATACCGATGCCGCACCTTTGGCTTTTGCCGATACCGATATTAGTCCGATATTTTTTTTTTTTCGTGGTCCGACGTGCCGTATACGGCCCACAGGGTGGTTTATAGGTTTAACTTTGTGAAAGACAAAACAAAACAAACACAAAAGTAAACATAAATACATATCTTTGGAAAGCTGAGAAACTCGTGATTCGAACGACGTAAACCATTTTAAGATACAATCAACACAGCGGGCACAATCTGTCTCTTTGTCAGACCACCAACAGCCAAAACAAACCAACACAAACTGGAAGAAACTCACCAATTAGCCATCTGTTAGTCCACATTCCAACAAAAATGGTTTGGTTTCACTGTAAAGCGTCCATACAATCCAATTTGAAGAAGTTTTTAGTCCAAAACAATTGTATATATGAATAAACATCCATGGAATGTAAATAGTAGCATTTCGCGTTAGCCGACAGCGCTATCACAACTTCGACGCACTAATGCTACGTTCACACCGGACGCGAATAGGGCGTCAGGCGCGAATGATTTCAATGTTAAGTCAATGCAAAGACGCTTTACGCGCGTGAAAAATTCCTGCGGCGCGAATGAGGCGTGGAGCGCGGCGCGGAAGACGCGAATACGCCTCATTCGCGCGTCAAGTTGGCGCGAATTGAGCGTTGTGCATTCACGCGTTTGACGCGAATTCGCGTCTGCCGCCCGAGTTGAAAAATCTGAACTTTGGCGTGAATTCGCGCCGCGTTAACCAATCAGGAGCCTAGCTGCTTGCTCACGTGGTGAAGTGTCTGGATGCTTCAATAAATTGTTTTGTTAATATGACTAAATGCATGGTGGGATTATGCACAACAAAGCAAATGTTTCATCACTTAAAACATTATTTCTATATGGAGACATGTTCATTTTGTATTGAATGTTATTCATTCCATATCTAGAAATAGTATTATGTTGTAAAGACAATCAACATATGTGCATTCGTGTCTGGACGTGAGAGAGAGAAGAAAAAAAAATCACAGGACAGGTTAATAACTTTTGAAGGCTGGCTCTATTTATTATCAAAACAAAAATAAATGACAGCTAGATTAGATGGATGAGGGGCCGGGCGAGGGTGATCCTCGCTCAGATGCGGGACAACAGGTCATCAAACTGGGCGCGTGACAGGCGGAAGTACCGCTGACAGCGGCCGTCATCCAGCGCAGCTCCTGGAGCGTGCGAATGGTGAAACTCGCCAAACGGTTCGGCTCCGAAGGGTCCGGTGGACACAAATATACGGCGACGATGATCCCCACGCCGCTGTTCTGCTCTCCAGAGTAAATACAGAGCGGTAACTCTCTTGATGAATGCTCGGTCGACATAAAAACAATGACCGCCAACGGATTTTGATTCTGACGCGCGTCACGCGCGTAAATTTCGCTTCAAACTTTACGCGCGCCAGTTTCGCTCTTGACACGCGAATTAACACTAGTGGTCAAGCGTCAAACTAGACGCGTCAGGCGCGAATTTGACGCGCGATTCGCGTCCGGTGTGAACGTAGCACTATTGATCCGTCTACAGTTGAAACGTAAACATTGGAGAAAAAAGAATGTCAAAATGGCCGCTGACCCATGAACTATTGATTGACAGGTCATTTTAGCCAATCGGCGAGTGTTAGGGGTGTCTTCTAACCTCCAACAGCCAACGAGCGTGCCTGGTGAAGATCGGTACCTACCTCTCTTTGAGTGACAGTTTATCTATCCAGTTGCAATAGAGAATGAAATGACGCTATTTTCTGATAGCCAATGAATTTCTGAAAAGACTGAAATGCAGCTTTTGTTCCGTGCGCAGAGCGAGAGTGATTCTCTGCGTGCGTGTGCGTAAACACAACAATCATCACGTGACAGGCTGCGCCGCTAAACTGGATATCGCTCATATTTTTTTCTCCCCTCCGATCTCCGATCTAGCGTTCTGGGCCGGTATCGGCGCGATACCGATGCCGTGGATCGGATCGGGACATCCCTAGTAAAAAGTTGATCTGGCCACTTTAACGCGTGTGGTGTGGGAGTGGCAGAGGTTAGTTGTCACAAGAGAGAAAGTTTGACATGGAGCCGCTAAATCTCCAACCTACGGGTAATTGCATGTTCTGCTGGTAAATGAGAACGCATCAGAGCTCGTAATAAAACAAGAATCAACATTGGCTTGGTTTTTCCAAGGGGGTAATCCATCGGCCAGAAGTTGAAGCCTCGCGGGAGCCGCCATTGTAGCAGAACTTCACCTGCTGTTAGCATCCCATTGACTCCCATTCATTTTGGCGTCACTTTGACAGCGAATAACTTTACATCTGAGGCATCCGAAGACTTCATTTGTCCATTATTTATTTCTAAAGAAACACAACAATGTAAAAAACGCTCCATTAGCTTGTATCCTACGTTATGGCCCCGTCCGTTTTTGAAACAAACAGGCTAACGATTGCGTCATAACCATACAACTTTCTGTCGCACAACAGAGACATTACCGTATAGACAGGAGGAGAAGCTCACGGGCAATCTTTTACTGTCTATTGGGCAATCGGGGGGACATGGAGGCATCAAGTCAAGGGAGAAGCCCATAGACAGAGAGTCCATAAAAGCAACGGGACGAAATATTTCAACAACGTTTTTGAGGAATTAGGTAATTCAGATTTGTCTTGGCAGAGCTACTAGAAGATTTAACTAAGATTTGACTGTCGTCAAGCCTGCGCAGTCGCTCAGACATTAGGCAGAATGTGGAATATTCGCGCTTCAGTCTTCTCCGTTGAAATCAATGGGGTCGCTCTGTCCATTTCTTTTACTGTCTATGGCTAAATCTCCAACCTACGGGTAATCGCACGTTTTTAAATAAACGCCAGAACAAAGGAGAGTCTGCTGGTAAATGAGAACTTGTCAGAGCTCGTAATAAAACAAGAATCAACATTGACTTGGTTTTTCAGAGATGATGAGAACTTTGGGATTTGAAATCGACACAGAGATGGTGTTTTTATTACTCACAGGTATTGTTGTCAAAACATTCGTTACTTTGGTACCAAGTCGGTACTAAGTATCGTAGGTATCGAGTACCCGCTCAAGCCCGGTTCTGGATGCGCATGCATGCACGAAGGGTGTGAAGTTGCGTCCTCTTCATGAAAGTGCTGAGACAAGGTTACTGTTAATTCAGAACTCAGTTGCTGGGATTATTACCCATTCACATACTGTACCTCTGATCATATAACACATTGGGAACATTGGCTTCCAGTTCGTTATCGTATCCATTACAACATTTTACTGCTAACGTATAAAACTCTTCATAATTTGATTCCTCTCTATCTCTTAGATCTTCTTCCTTTGTATACTTTTTCACATTTTTTGAGATCATCCTCAGCAGAATAATTGGCTGTTCCAAGTTTTAAGTTGAGTGCATTTAGTGCATTTAGGCTTTCAGTTGTGCAGCGCCAAAATTACGTAATTCATTACCATTGCACATTGGCCAGTTGGATTCAATTTCCCTTTTTAAAGCTCAGATTAAAACGTATATGTTTAGAATAGCTCTTAGTGATTTGATTGATTTGATTGTATGTTTGATCTGTCTTTTTTATTATATTGCTGTATGAAGAGACAAAACAAATCCTTTGCTTACAATAACCTTCTCCTTTTACTTGACTTGACTACATTATCTCCCCGATGGATCATGTGAGCTTCACGGCTCATTTGCATGAAGTCAAACTTAACTTATTCATGGCAGATTAGCTATTCTTATTGAAAATGAATGTCTCTATTTTGCTGCAAATCGTTGTCAACAATGCAAAGACAACTACATTTTATGTAAAGCAAAACCTAAAAGCTAAAACTTTAACACTGTTCTTTAGGCAAGCTCTAGTACAACTTCTGGGAGTGCAAATGTTCTTTTTCCTCATCCCTCTTTTCAATCTAAGAGACAAAGAAATGTGCTATCAAAGCCCACGTACACAATTAACATCGCCCACAAAAATCCTGAACAATGGAAGCTAGAGAAAAGGGCTCGTAATTATGACTCATGTTTTTTTTCTTTTTCATTTCTCTCTCTCTCTCTCTCTCTCATACTTTTTAAACAAGGCTGGTTCTGCCTGTCAGAAAGAAAGAGTGACTGAGAAAGAACTAAGTCGATGTTCAGAGTCTCTCAAAACATGGCAACGTACAAAGCAGTCAAGGAAAATGTAAAAAATTCAGCTTCACATATTAAACGCTAAAGGCATGTTCACACCAAGGAGGATAACTATAATCATTATGATAACGGTATAGTTTTAAATAATATTGATTATTCATTCATTTTCCAAACCACAACTATAACGACACAGATAAACAATATCGTTGGAATCACTTTCAGAGCTTTTATTTTTTAGCCATGAACAATAAAACACTGATATCCAATCAGAATCCATCTCAAGCATTTAAAGTTTAAGTGACAGACAATAAAAGTGCATGGTGCTCAAAATAAACAGAACATTATCATGCGGTGGTGTGGATGTTGTCCTTATACGTAGTTATCTTTTATAGCTCGTTCTTGGTGTGAACGTGATCTGAACCTGGCTGCTCGAACATTTGTTTTATGTAGGAGATCAAGATTAACAAGACTTTCATGCTATCAGAAAATATTATAGAACACAGTATTTATTAAATATTTAAAAAAAAAAACATTTTTCACAAGGTTCGTTTAGTTAAGTCATATATTTTTACAAATAAATTACAATGGCCAAAACAGAGCATATCAACATTTATATCTTAACAGTATTTTCAAGCTTAGGCTAAACAACAAAGAAAACTTACGTTTTTAACTTACGGAATGTAAAACATGCCTTTGAATAATAGTAATGAAAAAAAATATCACACATTACAAATGTGGACACAAAACGTCTTTAAGAAACATGTACAAGTATAATTTAGAAAAAAAAAACATTTCATATTGAGACCAGCCATTTCAGTACTGAGCCGAGAAAAGCCTTTGTCGAAAGAGCAATACGCATGTAAAGCTACAGTATTTACATACAGTGAAACAGTCTTCGCTCGTGTATTAAAAATACATGTGTCAGCCCATATGGAACGCTCTGGCCATCGAGATCCACTTTAGAGATTTCTCTATCTAGAGATCCTGAAGACCTCCATCAGCTTGTTGAGGTGAGCTTAAGTAGGGTTTGAGCTAAACTCTGCAGGAAAGTGGATCTCGAGGGCCAGAGTACCTTGAGATTGGCAAACTCTGCTCTGAATTTAATGCAGGATTATCAGGATGTTCATAGTGGCTCTGTTCCAAACCCCAGTGAGCTGACTAATGAAACCTCAGAAACAATTTTTTGAATTTAAAACTTTTTTTTTTTTAATTTGCAAAAACTAGTTTTTAAAAATTATATAATTTATCATTTATAGGTAATTGCAACTTTTTATTCTAATTCGGACTTTTTTTCCCCTCAAGTTTATGAACTCACAATTCTGAGAAATAATCCGTGGCAGAAACAAGCTATAAAATAAATATAATTAAAATAAGATTCAGAACTCCGAATGTTTTGAGAGTTGAATGCTATTCAGCGATCTCACTCTTTTAAACCAATTAATTTCATGAATTTATTTATTTAATGACATTTCCAGTCATTCACGATTTATTTTAGTATTTCATATTTTTATTTATTCACAATTTTCTACCTTTTAGAGCTTGGCGTTTTAAGACTTTTCCAGGTCTATTTTTTTTTATTATGTATCGTACTGTATATGCAGGTTTTTCAAGACTTTAAGCTGCATTTATTTGATGACAAATACAGTAAAACATATATTATTACATCATTGCAAAGTACATGTATTATAATATTATAACAAAAATAAAATAATTTATTTCTTACGATTTTAATATAGTTTAAAATATAATTTATTCCTGTGATGCAAGGCTGAATCTTTACTCCATCTACTCCAGTCTAAGATTTGATGCTTTGCCATTAAAATATATTAATGAAAAAATAATTTAAATTGTAATAATTACTGAATTTTTTATCAAATAGAGGCAGATTTATTGAGCATATGTGACTTTTTTTTAATCTCACAGTAAATCTTCCAAACATTTCTGACCGGTAGTGTTCTTCTCAGAGTTAAATAAGTAACTTACATATTCCTTGAAGAATACATGTGATGCTGCCTTAGCTCTAAGTAGTCAGCTCACTAGATTTGGCAACAGAGCCACAGATATAAAACTGTCTGGGTAAGAGCTGTTCATATCAAGGCACGATAATCATGTGTTAGTGCATTTCAATGTTCATTGCACCAACTTCCTCTATAGGCTGGGAATGGCAGCTTTTTGGATGCCCATGACCGTGTCATAAAAGCAATCCTCGTTCACGACCGATCCCAGGCTCTGCACGCTGTAGTCCCTGGCCAGCAGGGTGTTGAGGTCCAGCCCTGGAGCGTCCTCCAGCAGAGTCACCTGACTGCCCTGAAGGCTGCTGGAACTGCTCTTGCTCGTTCCTTGCGGTTCTTCTACAAAGTTCAGCCTCTGGAGTTGAGCTTCCAAGGCGCTGGTCAGGGAGCACAGCGTGGGGCTCTTGCTCAGAGCAGAGTTCCCTCCTCGGCTCGGGATGGGGGGCTCAGAATGAGCGTATCCGTCGAGCAGGCGGCCCTCGTCCGGGTCTCGAGTCTTTGGCTGTGGCAGCCAGGAGTTTGTTCTTAGCGCTCCTGGGTGGCTCCTCCTGGGGAAGGTGAAGTTAGAGTTTACATCTTTGAACCGGCGCTCGACCGGTGCCGTCCGCTTGGCGTTCTCTCTCAAGAGGGTGCGGATGGTCCTCACTGCACTGGCTTTGTTCTCCAGATTACTGCAAACAAACAAAACAAAACCAGAGGACATTTGAAATGTGCTTCATGTATTTAACAATGCGCACTTGTAGTGTATTTCACATCGTAGCCCTCAATCGGGTCATGGGGTCTATACGACCCCAATCGACTTTTACTTAATAAAAAAAGTTTCCCTTCATATCAGTGGAATAAGATTTTGTGACTTTTCATACATTATCTACTGTATCTATACACACACAAATAAACTAGGCTTGATTCGGTTGTTCTGAAGGTACAGTATGTAAAAAAAAAAGTTTACACTTCTGGTCTTCGAGGTCAATATGACCCCACATTGAAATGAATGGGAAATGTGAGAAAAACTAAATATATTTTCTTCATGTGTCAAAAAATAAATAAAAAATCAGCAATTTTTTACACAGAAATGAAGGCCTAGTACTAGAGCATATATGCGATGTATCATAAAAAAAAATAACATTTCATATGGAAGGCAATGCTGTAGTTGAGGAATTGTGTGGTATATGGATACAAAAGTACTTTATATCTCCAAAAACACAGCATTAATGAATAGATGAGAAGTAAACAAAAAAATGATTTATTATTTGTATGACTAAAAATGTATATTTTTTGTACAATTACTCAATCAATTGTTGGGGTCGTATAGACCCCGAAACCCAGTAGTGTAAGCAGGAAATGTCAACGAAGACCATTTAAAAGTATATATTATTTAAAAGAACTTTACTTGCAGATTAAATAAATGAAATAAAAGGCCACTTAAGTGTATTTTGAGAGAATACACTTTCATGGCTATGTTTCTGAACACACTTATCTACTCTTTTAAAAGGCTTTAATAATCTTATGTCATGCTGTAAAGTACACTTATTTTGATGTGTTGACTAAGTACATGTAAAGAGCTTGAATTTAACTGAGTGTATGTGTAAATGTGGAATTACAAATATATTTAATATCATTTTTTTTTAATTGCAAGTCTGAAAACATTACATTGTTGGCACTTAAGAATATTATTCACATAATTAGTACTCTTTTCTAAATGTAAGCTTAAAGGAGTAGTTTTGAAAAAAAACTTTGCTTATAATTTACTCACCCCCATGTCATCCAAGATGTCCATTTCTTTCTTTCTTCAGTCGAAAAGAAATTAAGGTTTTTGATGAAAACATTCCAGGATTTTTCTCCATATAATGGACTTCAGTGGGAACCAAACGGTTCAAGGTCCAAAAGAAACTTTAAGTACAAACTGCAAACTTGTTCAAAGGGCTTTAAACGATTCCAGACGATGAATAAGGGTCTTATCAAGCGAAACGATTGCTCGTTTTATAAATAAATAACAAAGTTTAAGTTTTATAAGCTCAAACGCTCGCCTTGCTCTGTTCTGTAACGCACTCCTGTTCGAACTCGTTCATCAAAATGAACAAATCTTTTTCCGAGTCATTTGGTTCATTCGGCAAAAGAAACGAACGAATTGATTCGGAAAAAGATTTGTTCATTTTGTTGAACGAGTTCGAACAGGGGAGTCACGAACGTGCGTCACAGAACAGAGCAAGGCGAGCGTTTGATCTAATAAAACTTAAACTTTGCTATTTTTTTTTTTAAAAAAGAGCGATCGTTTCGCTTGATAAGACCCTTATTCATCGACTGGAATCGTTTAAAGGCCTTTGAACAAGTTTGCAGTTTGTACTGAAAGTTTCTTTTGGACCTTGAACCGTTTGGTTCTCACTGAAGTCCATTATATGGAGAAAAATCCTGGAAAGTTTTCATTAACCCTTATGCTGCATTAGGGACATTTTTGGTCTTTTGCAGTTTAATTTCTTTGACCATTTTGGCTGTTTTAATGCAAATGGTATGAAATTTGGCAAAATTGTGACTTTTTGGATACATGTAAAAAATGTGATCCCATTTTGCAAAATATGTATAACACACACTGTGTAGAAATAGTAACACTCAGCACCATAAAGACCAAAAATGGCCCATTGAAACCCATTAAAACGTTGTTTAAATCTGAGGCTGTCAGTAATACATGAAACATGATTTTTGCACAAACATCCTTTCATTTAGAAGCAAAAGCATTATATTTGCATTATATAGTGTATTCCACCAGATGACGTCACTACATATTTATTCCCTATGGGTGGAAATGCACCTTATTTTAGGCAATAGGCAATGTTTAATAGGTGGCCATTTTTGGTCTCTAACGCGCTAAGTGGGATTTTTTGCAAAGTGGGACTGTGATAATCCAAATCTAAAGTTTTCTCTTTGCATTTAGTTTATTGAAAATAATTGAATTTTTGTGTTTTTTCCTCTTATACAAATCGATGGTTTCGCAAACAAAACTGGTAATTAAAGGGTTAAAATCCTGAAATTGAATACATTTTTGGTAGTTATGATGAGGACTGATGCTGGTTAAAAGATTTAACTTGGTAAAAGTGGAAAATAATAATAATATATAATATTTTAGGCAATGTTTAATATGTGGCCATTTTTGGTCCTTAATGCACTCAATGGTGTTAAAAATCTAATGCAGCACAAGGGTTAAAAACCTTAATTTCTTTTCGACTGAAGAAATAAAGAAATGGACATCTTGGATGACATGGGGGTGAGAAAATTATCAGCAAATGTTTTTTGAAAAGTGAACCAATCCTTTAAGTTTACCTCTTTTTCTTAAGGGATTACAGTGATTTTAGTCAAGTCACCTTTTAACAATATACTGTAGATTGTTTCAAAGCAGCTTTACAGTGATAATAGGACATTACAGTAACATGCGCATCACGTGTTTACTCTATAGGTATGCGTGTTTGAATATGTACGCAGGTGTGTGGTCCTTCTTTACGAAAACCAACCCTCAACAAACTACATCTCTGGCCTTAAAAATGTATAATAATTATTTTTTATCGCTTCCAAGTAGCCACGTGCACTGGAAAGTACAAATTTCAGAGATAATCCACAATAACTGTTCTGTTTATAACCCTCTGTCGATCCGCCTGTGGACGGGGACACAAAAATGCGGAAGTATAATCTGTAGTTTTCGTTCACGAAAGCCCTGGCACTGTCAAATAAACATGAATTTCTCGGCAATCCAGGGAACATGGAGAAACGATGTTTATCTATACTACCAATATGGAACAATACAAAGCGGGTTGAAAATTGGCGAAGTTACACTTTAAGGGATTTTTGAGTCCGTAAAACTGCCTTAAAGCAATAGTTCACCCCCAAAATATAAGTTCCGATAATCAATGCCGGTTTCAAGTGTTAACTTTAAATATCGGTTACCTGCTGCAGAGCTGGAAGAACATCTCTGGCCGTCCCTCCACTTCAGACTTGGTGTGAACAACCTCCCAAACACAAGGGTTCTCTGACCCTGAAAGAGCCAAGAGAAGGGAGTTTAAGCACGTTATGGATTGCATTTGACATTTTTTGGCAATGTTTGGGTTTTTAAAAGGGCTTGAGACTTTAATGATACACATTTTTTAAATGATGAGCTCTGATGTGATGTTTTTAAGAGGTTCTTGAAGTCCTCCTTTGAATACCATGTTTCTCTTGGTCTGTCTTGGATCTACATTCTGCCCATGTCAAACTCATGTTCAACAGAGATATGTGTTAGTTTAAACAGGAAGATCATGTCACACACACCTGCTGAATTTCCAGGTCGGATCTGTAGGGATGATACGGGAATGAGCCAGCGGAATTTAAAAGGATCCAGATCCCCTGGCCGTGAAGAAGTCTAGTTGGAAAAACATTCAAATGCCTGTTATATTAGCTGTCAGTAAACAACAAGAACGCGGCTGTCATTTTAATGTTACTTTAGTGAGATGGTAAAACTAACACCATTAATCATAACCTCGGATCCGCATGCAAATTCTGTTATTTAATCCTGAGGTTTCATGCTTCAGGATAATGCCCAGTATCAAAATAAAACTAGCAATATATTTATTGAAAAATATGAATTTATTCAGATAAAAAGCTGAAAAGTTACAATAAAGACATTTACTACAAACAAAACATTTTGTTGGTTGTGAAATGTTTCTTGAGCAGCAAATCAGAATGACTTCTGAATGATCATGTGACTAATGATGCTGACGATTCAGAAATTATATTTTTTTTAAATATAATAAATTGAAACTAGTTATTTAAAATTGTAATAACATTTCACAATATTACTATTTTACTGTATTTTTTATGAAAATAAATGAAGTCTTGGTCTATTTGATGCTACTGTACATCCATCTGCTCTAATAACGCAATAAAAACGGATTATTATTCAATTAATTTCAGCATGTAAAAGCAAGTTTTTATCATTTGACAGACCTAATAAAAACACACCATGTGCTACAACTCCCACAACTCACCATTCTTTTCTTTAGCTTGCTTTCCCGATACACCAAAATGAGCCCTCTCTTGAAGACTGGACGAATAAAACACATTAGTGCACTGAGCTTTTAATAACACGTATCTTGCACACCATAAACCGCAATGGTTTTGTAGTTCCAAAGCATCAGGCCTGACTTACGGAAGAGGGTGAGTTCAGGGTCTTTTCTCATGCGGCCCAAAGAGGGAAGAGGGTTTTGCCAGAGTGCCGAGCTGTGAATGATGAACTCTCCCATGGAGATCTCGGTGACCTGAGACGCAGAACACATTGGCTTTATTTTAAAATCAATCATAAAGAGGAAAAATGGTCCTTTTCTTAGAAGTAATTCCAGAATGGTACACACCTCCTTCTCGGGGCCACTCTGCTCTGCCACTAGTTGGTCGAACACTGTGCCGTAATCCTCATAGATCTTCTGCATCTCATTTATGTGACTGGCCACCTTTTCCATGGCCTTTAATGCCTCTGCACCAGAGAAAAAGTGTTTATTTCAAACCAATAACTCACTCAATAGTTCATAACGGAATCAATAATGGATTAAACACTGTAGGGCTGTTAATATTATGCCATCATTATAAACACTGCTTTTAACCCTGAGAAAAGCAACGTTTCACACTTAATTTCACTCCAAACAATTGATGAGCCCCATTGACTTCCACAGTATAGAAGTCGAGTGCATAGCAACTGTTTGGTTATGGATGTTCTTCAAAATGTCTTCTTTTGTATTCAGTAGAAGAGATAAATTTATACAGGTTTGGATCTTGTAGGTGAGTATATGACACATAATTGTTTTGGGTGAACTATCCCTTTCATTCTCACCTTTATACATCCATTCAGAGTAAACTTGATGGTACAGTCAGCAATACAATGAGGAGGTGCAATGCTAGAGCTTTTATGATGTAAACGAGTCACATGCTGCATTCGTCCAATCAATGACACCGACACCGCTAATATGCAAATAAGCGTTTAGGAATGTACAGTGTGAAACAGCAACTTATGAACAAACAGGATTGACCGCAAAGCCTGACTTCAATGGGAACCAAACGGTTCAAGGTCCAAAAAAGAGTTTCAGTGCAAACTGTTCAAAGGGCTTTAAATGATTCCACACGATGAATAAGGGTCTTATCAAGCGAAACTATCGCTCATTTAATAAATAAATAACGTTTAAGTTTTATAAGCTCAAATGCTCGCCTTGCTCTGTTCTGAGATGAGCGTTCGTGACTCTCCTGTTCAAAATGAATTCATCTTTTTCCGAGTCATTTGGTTCATTCAACGAACGAAATGAATGAATTGACTCGGAAAAGATTCGTTCATAAAAAATAAAAAAAAATGAGCGATCGTTTCGCTTGATAACACCCTTATTTATCGTCTGGAATCGAACAGTTTGCACTGAAAGTGTCTTTTGGACCTTAAACCGTTTGGTTCCCATTGAAGTCCATTATATGGCGAAAAATCCTGGAATGTTTTCATCAAAAACCTTAATTTCTTTTTGACTGAAGAAAGACATGGACATCTTGGATTAATAGTAAATTATCAAGTTTTTTCAAAAGTGAACTACTCCTATAACTAGTTAGAGTGTGAAAAGCCTTAAATTGTGGCTGAGATGAAGTAAGAGAAAGAAAGTGGCGTGAATGTTAGGAGAAGCGCATGTCCGCACACCTGTGAGGTGGTTTCGCTCGTCGCTCTCGGGGTCGGTGAGAGACACCAGCTCTCTCAGCAGCAGCGGGTACTTCAGGACCCTCTGCACGGGCTTGATGAGGTACGACTCCAGGGTGGACGAGTGCTGTTTGGTGGGGTTCCTCGCCTCCAGGAACTCTTTGAACGCCCCGTCTGTTTTTGCTGCAATCAGACAAATCGGAAAATGAAATAAACCAGGTGCTGCTGCTTTTGGCTCAAGATGCCAGTTAAAATATGCAATTAAGATATGTCAGAGGAGGCTTATGTTTATGTTTTACCTCTTTCGAGAACTTTCTGCACCTTTATGTGATTGGCACAGAAGCCGCTGTAAAGCTTAAAGTGATCTGCGTAGTATAAGAAAGATCCGCCCAGGGAGAAGAGGAGTTTCTGGAGGTGAGATTGAAAGAGAAATACTCAAAATGTGCCTCAAACCGAAAAACACTTCATTTGTCAGATGTAAATCAAATTAAAGGTCTAATTCCAGCATGGTGTCAGTACAGTAACTGATAACCTTATACACTATTAAGATTTTATTCATATTTTGAATTAGCTTTTATTTTTGTATTTTCTTCAGTTTTCATTTTATATTTAGTTTAATTGTTTTGTCATTTTTCAATGAGGTTTTTATGCTTTTAAAATATCCTGAATAGTTTTAATTGATTTTTATTTCAGTTTTAGTTTTAAGTCATTTAGTTGCCAAAGTAACATTTCCATATTTCTTTAAGTTTTCCATCTAGAATTTATATTTTATTGGAGCTTTATTTCAATTAACAAAAATGTTTTAATAGGTTTAGGTAACAATGTCAACACTTTTTTAACTAGCTCTATGTATTCTATATTTACGTTATTGTTTTTTAAAGCTACACTGTGTGATTTTTACCCCCATCTAGTGGTGAAAAGGTATATGACCTCCTACGGTGGCCAATGTAGTCCAAGATTAACATGCCTTCCAGTTCGACCTCGTCCATGAGTGTTAACTCAAACTTAAACGCGAAAGGCGAAGCTTGAATTAACGGGTATGTCCCTCTTTGGCTAATGTACTTTCAAGATGGAGGGGCAACATGGCGACAGACATTAAAACTTAAAACCCCTTACCCGTATGTATTTTCAATGGCATATTATACACTCACGAGAATACCTTATTACTTGAATGAAGTAAATACTGTATACATTAATGAGCACAAATATTTTTGAAAGAACTAAGTGTTTTAGCTAAGAATAAACTAAAAGAGTTACACAGTGTAGCTTTAATATATAACAACACAAATTTAAAATGGCTGACAAAAGCCCTATTTGGACGGGACTAGCTTTACAAGGATAGATGGAGTAATGTAATTTTACCACAGGACCTCTGTAATAATAATGGCCAATTAGCACAGGATAAAATGTCTCAATAAATAGATATCAGTGGGAGGGGTAACTCGATTTACGCACCGCCGTCACCTGATATCATGTGCACAAACACATATAACCTATATTTATATATATAAAAAAGTTAGGTCCGGTCGAACAATGTATTAATTATATTCAGATTGGATTATGTTGGTAATAGGCACTCATCTAAAGCTAAAAGAAGTGTTGTACCTCTAAAAAGTTTTGCCACAGTCTTGTCTCACTTGTTCCGCACCTGAATGCTTTTCAAGCGCCTCCATACTTTAAAAATCTGCGGACAACTACTTTTAAACAGGAAATGACGGATCATTCGTACATACTTTCAGCGGGTCTATTTTCACGGAATTAGTATTCCCTAAGGTAATTTTTCCAGACCCTTTTACAGAAGGACATTGTGCGTAATGATAACTGAGATGGCACATTCGGACGGGACTAAAATCACAGAGAAGCTCTGGTAATAATTACTTTACCTCACCTCTCCATGTTAAACTACTCCCATTCAAATAGTGCAAAAGTATATCTGGAATATCTAATTCTAGTGATCCAGACTAGGAATTGAATATTTCTTGCATCAGTTAATCATAAAAATCTGGCTTAATGTCACCACTATATTTTACCTTAAGTTTCTCTGGCGTCTCCAGTGCATGGTAGTCCGGTGAGGAAGTGGTCCTCTCCTCTAGGGTTTGTAGGAAAACCCTCTGGAAGTCCAGCATCTCGGGCAGGCTGCCGAACAGAGACTCCATCTACCAGAAGAGGAAAGGATTGCAATTATGGACATTTTTAGCTAAAATTAGATAATTTCTGGGCTGGCTCTGTTTTAGTTTAGTATACAACATAATTTTACACCTCAAAACGTACCTCGTCATGGCTGAGGAACGTTTCTTTTTGTAATGGCTTCAGGTAGATCTCAAACAGAGATCCAAGGTCCTAAACAATGTGAGACGCACATGCATTTGACAGTGTTAACATAGAACAATGCATTCATTAATGTCTCAAATGTAAACAATGAATACACAATGAAGTCCCACAGCTGTGATTTTATACCTTGACATAAGATTTCTCCGTGTCCACCAGCTCTTGAATAACCATGCGCAGGCGCTCAGTGACGGACATGTGGCGGGGAGAGGATCTGGCAAGGGCATTTTCAGTGGAGTAAGGGTTCCTGTGGCCCTCTGGCACGAGAACAGATCCATCAGAGAACGTCTGGTAGAGATTACACACCGTTTCTGGGTTCTACAAGGTAAATCAAAGCAGAAGAACACTGTCTTTTAGTTCTAATTTTAGCTCTAAATCTAATCCGTTTTAATAGTGTGCTGCAGGGATGATGCGCTTTTGTAGGCCAACTCGGAAGGTCACATCACCCTGATTCCCTTGACAAAAAGCCAATTTGATTTTTCCATAAGCTCTGTGAGCAACAAAAGAGATCTGGGGGCTCGTCCGGGATATTCCCTAGAAACAGCCGCCATCACAGGTAAGTAGTTTTTAATGTTTCTTGTGGTGTGACTTATCTTTGGAAAACAGTCTCAAGCAGTCGAACCACGAACGCCAAGTTAAGTGCGCTGGTGAGATGTGAACGAGCCAGAACTTTGCTCGGCGTTCGTGGGTCGACTGCTCGAGACTGTTTTCCAAAGATAAGTCACAGTGGACTGTCTTTCAAAAATATCTTCTTATTAAAAGGTCTGTACACTTACAACATTGCCAATGCTTCGATTAGCATGTAGGGACACTGATTATGCTACTGTGTTAATGTTGGGGCTATTTTGAGCCTTGTTAGTGGTATTAACTAGAGATTTTTATTTTCATTACTCTTTGCCCCATATAGGCTACTAGCGTTATAAGCTAAACAGTTTTTAGAGATAAAACACTTTACATTCGATTATCATGAAAACAAATCTCAGAGAACGGTTGACTATGTACCAATGTGTAATTAGACCAAAGGTTCATTTTGCGGCAAAGTCGTCCTTTAAGACGATTTACTAAATCATAGTATTTGAGCAGAGTTAGCATTTAGCATGCTAATATGTGCCGTTGCACGCTAAATGTTCGTTAGTTCTTAAAATCACTTTGATTATTTAATTACTTAATTCGACACTTCAAAATATCGTAATTCAATGATGTAAATGTTATCTGATTGATGTGGAATCGAAGTACATTGTTAAATCTAGTAAATCCATCACGTTTGAGTCTACATGAGCTTTTATGGTGATAAAGTGGTGCCTCAGCCTCTATGCAGTTTCACTTTATTTAAAAAGTAGACAGATATATTTAAAGGCACACCATGTAACTTTTGGCCAAAAGAGTTGACGCATATGTTATTTTAAATGATTCCTCAGGCCAATAAACAGCCAATAAACACTATCAATGCGCCAAGCGGGGCTGCCCTCTTGAAATAGCGCCTATGTAAGTTTGGAGAAAACGGACCGTCTTTGGCCAGGTCACGTGACCTGGAGAATGCCTGGAGAACATATCGCTTTACGACCATCACGTGACCACAGGTTTAGAAGAGTCAAAGAAAAGAAAATGAGAAACTGACCGCGCGAGAAAACCACACAGGAGTCTCACTCGGTCAGGCTTTCACTTAAAATAGGATAAGAATGAGCATCAAACAGAATCAAACCGGCGTGTGCAGCTCTTAAAAGGGGCCACACGTTATTTCCACTCGTTATTTATGACAGTACAAGTATAGAGTCACTATAGGGGTCGCTGTTTGACAAAAACGTAATTCCTACATAGTGTACCTTTAATAAATGCTAAACAGAGTATTTGAATCTTTATACACTGACTGAATCAAACTGTATTGGAATCAAGGGGATTTTAACACAGACTGTGTCTGGGGCCATCACCCAAAACCTTTATGAATGATGCCCTCACTCACTTTCACTCCCTCAATGCTGTATCAATAACCTGGTTATCAATAGATCAATAATCAACACAATCCACCACTGCTGAGTGAAACAACCGAACCATTAGAAACAGGCTCCAGCAAGAAATGTTGACTCAAAGCTTGACTCAAAAATGCAAACGCTCTCCTGAAGGCTTTATCTCCAGAGCGCATGTGGTGCACCTTCAAAAAACAGCATCACCGGTGAAAATTCAAGCCATTTGTCATCGTAATCTGTGCTGTCAGAGTGTAATAAAGTGCTGACAAACTGATAAATCCCTCTGGGCGGCTCTGCAGAGCTGCTCTCTGCACGTAAAGGATGAGGATTTTTTCCTAAATACACATTATAAAAAAAAACTAATGAAATATTCATTCTTTTCAAAACTCAATGCAATCATAGAGTGCAGGATCATAATGAGGTGCAATAGAGAGTTTTTTAAGGTCATAGATGAGTGTGTTTGCGAATGTTTCTCCTATTTTAACACACAATCCACACTTGATTAAGATCATTTCAAGGCCTACAGTAATTATAGACCACAACAACATGAGTCTCTGAGTGCATCCAATTGGCAGAAACACAAGTTATACAACACTTAATGATAACTCTTGAAAATATTATTTCTAAGGATAAGGATTTCTAAATGTATGCATTAAATGTATATATTAATGAAATGTTTAATTCTTTATAATCCCACACAAAATGTCTTGTACCCCAAAATGTACATTCTAAAAACAAAACACTTTCAATATGAAGTTAATTTAGATATTTGTAGTTATAATAAATATATTTTATAACAATTATCTTTTATAAATCTAATAATTGTAAGATGTTATAAATAAAAATTAAACAATATATACCTTTTAGTGTATATATACACGCTAAAGAGCAAATATTCCAGGAAAAAAATACATTTTGTCTTACAGTATGTATGCTCAAAAGTTTGGAAACAATACTATTTTAAATGTTTTTTTAAAAGAAATTTCTTATGCTCGTCAAGCCTGCATTTATTTGATCGAAAGTACAGAAAAAACTGTAATATTGTGAAATCTTATTACAGTTTAAAATAATGTTTTTATATTTTAATATACTTTAAAATATAATTTATTTCTGTGATGCAAAGCTGATTTTTCATCATCATTACTCCAGTATTCGGTGTCACATGATCCTTCTGAAATCATTGTAATATGCAGAATTGTTGGTCCAAACACACACTACAAATGGCTAACGTATAGTTGACACGAGTTTTTATATATAATGAATATTGTTTAGTATATGTGACCCTGGATCACAAAACCAGTCACGGGTAGCACGGGTATATTTGTGGCAATAATATGGGTCAAAATTATCGATTTTTGCCAAAAATAATTAGGCTTTTCAATAAAGATCATGTTCCATGAAGATATTTAGTAAATTTCTTACAATAAATATATAAAACGTACATTTTTACGAGTGAACACAATCGCAAACATAAATGTACAATTTTAACGTTTTTTCTAAATTCTAAATTTTTCTACATTTTTTCTAAATCTTTTTTTTTTTTTTTTTTTTGCACCCGCAGATTCTAGATATTGTAATAGTTGGATCCCGGCCAAATATTGACCTATATCCTAACAAAACATACATCATTGGAAAGCTTGATGTATAAATTTCAATTAAAAAAAAAATTGACCCATGTGACTGGTTTTGTGGTCCGCATATTATTAAAAGTTACTATGATGAAGTGCTACCAATGCAATACAAACATAACCACAAAAACGAAGAAAAAAAGCGCCTGAGAAATGATGTCAGTACCAGTGAGATGCACTCACAATCACGTCAGCAACCCCACCAACATCTCCTAAAGGGTCTGATGAAGGGATGACAGCTGGAAGAGGACAGGGATTCCCTTCATCATCATCTGCACTTTTCTGACTCGACCGAACGACACATGACCACATGACACCGGACCAAAACACACTGCTAATCTTAACATGTTGCTAGCCTATATGTTCCATTTCTAAGGTGTACATTTTAAACCTGCCGATGCAATTAAAGGGATAGTTCAATTTGAAATTAATTTTTGGTGTGTTTTAGCTTACCTCAAGGGCATCCAAGATAGCTGTCTTTGTTTAGTAGTTTCAATTTTGATATTTTTAGGTCAAACCATTCTTTTCAGTCATATAATGGAGGTCTATGGCCACCACCTCAAAGAGCATGCACAGAGAAGTCCAAATCAAACATGATTTAATGACTCGTAAATGTAAGCACACATTGATGGCCTAAGACACGAAACGAGAGGTTTGTGTGAGAAAAAAAAACAGTATTTATATCGTTTTTACCACGTCCAAGTGATCTAAAGGTACAGGCGCAAGTTCTCTTTCGTGCGGTTGGGGAAAAAAACTCACCGTTGTCTGTTGATAAATCAAAATCGTCTTCCACTGTAATTTCCTGTATATCTAAATATGTTTAGATCTTCACAGTGAAGGGCAACACTTCTGAAATCTCTGTGTAAACAATGAGTGACGTACACACACGAGAGATCACTTCCGGGGCTTTCCGGCGCGCTTGCGCTGACCGAAGCGCCCGTGCCCTCAAATCACTTGGACGTGGCTGTGGTTACAAGGGGTAAAAACGATATAAATACATTCGTTTTCTCACACAAACCGCTCGTTTCATGTCTTAGGCCATCAGTGTGTACTTAGATTTACGAGTCATTAAATCATGTTTAATTTGGACTTCTCTGTGCATGCTCTTTGAGGTGGTGACCATAGACCTCCATTATATGACTGACAGACAAGAACGGTTTGACCTAAAAACATCAAAACTGAAACGACTGCATAAACAAAGACACCTACATCTTGGATGCCCTTGAGGTAAGATAAAACATACTAAAAATTAATTTCAAAGTGAACTATCCCTTTAAGGTCAAATGATATTGTTTGCGAATGCCAAGCGTGCAGTAAGAGCTGTGGAATTCTGTTAAACACAGCTCTCTTTCCATCTGACCTCATAACCCTGATCACACCGGCCAGTCTCTCAACACAAGCATCTCACACACCTCCTAAATCTCTGACATTCCCTCGGCTTACCTTCCCGCCCCGCTCGGCCTTATCGTTCACCTCCTCCAAAGCAGGCGCCCTGAAGCCCTCTGGAAATTCCTGATCTTGAGATGGATCTGAGGGAGAGAAAGAGGTGGAAAAGATGTTGAAAGAGTAGGCTGTTTACCTAAGTAAGACATGATCACGGTAATAGAGAGTGAAATAAACACACTCGAGGATCATTGACTCTCTTGGGAGAGGCCGAGCGTTTGACCTTTATTAACCGCCATTGATCTGAACTCACTAAATCTGCACGCAGGTCCACTTCAGCAGGACTCTTGTGTCGGATTCTACAAAGCTTGGCATCGTAGCAAATTGAAAAGCTAATGTACTATGCTTACGGTTAAAATAATGTTACAAACATTTCCTCTACAGGAAACACCGTCCTGCAGGGAATAACATCCTTGTTGTCTGTGAACGGCCCTGTGGTATAATGGTTTATGTCTGGGCATTTTGACAGCATCATGCTGTGAAACAAGCCGTCCGTCATTAGGTTCTCATCATAAAAACAGCGGGAGTCATTTCATTGCGTATAAAGAGCCACAGTCTCAGACATCCACAAGCCCCGCAGGCAGTCTGTGCTTTCAGATCGAGGCCTGGCCAAATTGATTTGAAATGCTATTTCCAAAATAAAATAAAAAATGTAAATAAAATTAAATATACAAGTATATAAAATAAAATGTCAAATTAAATATAAATATAAAATATAACTGAATTAAATATGAATTTAGATTCAGTTAAAAAACTATATACTGTATATTTAATTAAATATGAAATGAAATAATTTTAAACAAAATATAAATAAAATGTTTTAAATTATATAAGGAAATATAAAATCAAATGTAATAAATTGCATAAGTAAATATTTAATTAAATATTAAATTAAATGTAAAATAAAATGAAAATATTAAATAAAAATAGGAAAAAAATAGGAAAAGGACACTGAATTAAGAAAAATGTCACTACATTAAGACCACTGATAGATCCCACCAAAGGCACATGACACATGAAATAGCATGCAGAAATATATAGAACCCCAATTAGAGTCATACGGCAAATGAGACGTGTGTCGCCCTCTGCAGGTCATGTAGGGTTTCTGCAGCAATAGCAGGGCACATACAATTTAATGTGCAAAAATGTAATTGGCACATACACTATCATTCAAAAGTTTGGAGTCAGTTAGATTGTTTTCTTTTGAAGTTTTTAGTGATCAAAGAATCCTGATTTTTTTTTTTTTTATCAAGGTTTCCACAAAAATGCAACTGTTGTCAATGTCTAGCTGCACTAAATCAATAGTCTTGTGTAGCCAGAGCAGCTTTCATTGGTCAAGGACTGCCAAGAGGCTGTCTAAATGACATGTGAAGCAACCAATCACAGTTAATCTCAATGTCCCTACAATAACAGACTGGCGTGTAAAACTTATGCAACATATGTTCAGCTGTGGGCTTGACGTCTGAGTCTGACACTACTAAATCAATATATGAGAATGATTTCTGAAGGATCCTGTGACACTGAAGACTGGAGTAATGGTGATGAAAATTCAGCTTTGCATCACAGGAATAAATCACATTTTGTAGAGATGTGCCATATATCGGCCACCATATCTGTATCAACTAATATTTGATCATTTTTTATATTTTCGGTATTATTCTATTAATAATCCGGCATTGTTTCCTTCAGCTGAGACACTTCAGATGCACATTGTTCACCATGATGGATTTGAATTGCTGGAAATATGATTGCAACCCCTTCAATGTGAAGTCTGTCATACAGGCTACATAAAATTATAATGAGAACATCATAATTGTGTGCTTGGATAATGGCTTTTAATGGTGAGACTTTTGTTTTTGTAATCAGGCTCTCAAAAATGATATAAAAATTTGGATTTAGATTTATCGGCCAATATATCGGTTATCGGCTTTCAAATATAAAGAATAATCGATTATCGCTATCGGCCAACATGTTCATATCAGTGCAGCCCTAATATTTTGAAATATATTAAAAGAGAACAAAGTTCGGTAACACTTTAGGGTCCAATTCTCAGTATTAACTAGTTGCTTATTAGCATGTGTATTACTAGGATATTGACTGTTTATTATTACTTATAAAGCACATTTTAATGCCTTATTCTGCAAAACCATATTCAACATATCTTAATCATACCCAGAACTTAACAACTATTAATAAACAGCGATTAGAAGCTTATTGAGGCAAATGTCATAGTTAATAGTGAGAATTGGACCCTAATATAAAGTGTGACCAAAGATTTGAATAATATTTCACAATATTAATGTATTTTTTTTATCAAAATGAGCATAAGAAGCTTCTTTCAGAAACATTAATAAATCTTTCCGACCCCAAACGTTTGAATGGTACACTCTCAGAAAAAAAGGTACAAAAGCTGTCACTGTGGCGGTCCCTTTTCAAAAGGTACACTTTTTATACCTAAAGGGTGCATATTGGTACCTTAATGTACACATTAGCACCTAAAATGTACATATTGACACCTAAAATGTACATAATAGCACCTAAAATGTACATATTAGCACCTAAATTTCCATATTAGCACCTAAAATGTACACATCAGCACCTAATATGTACATAATAGCACCTAAAATTAACATATTAGCACCTAAAATGGACATGTTAGCACCTAAAATGCACATATAGCACCTACATGTCCATATTAGCACCAAAAATTTACATATTAGCACCTAAAATACACATATTAGCACCTAAATATCCATATTAGCACCTAAAATACATAATAGCACCTAAAATGTACATATTAGCACCTAAAATGCACACCTAAATGTCCATATAAGCACCTAAAATGTACATATTACCTCCTAAAATGCACATATAAGCACCTACATGTCCATATTAGCACCAAAAATGTACATATTAGCACCTAAAATGCAAATATTAGCACCTAAAATACACATATTAGCACCTACTGTAAATATCCATATTAGCACCTAAAATAAATAATAGCACCTAAAATGCACACCTAAATGTCCATATAAGCACCTAAAATGTACATATTACCTCCTAAAATGCACATATAGCACCTACATGTCCATAATAGCACCAAAAATGTACATATTAGCACCTAAAATGCAAATATTAGCACCTAAAATACACATATTAGCACCTAAATGTCCATATTAGCACCTAAAATGGACAAACGTTTACCTTTTGAAAAGGTACAGCCCCAGTGACAGCTTTTGTACCTTTTTTTTCCGAGAGTGTATTGTTCACAGTGCATTACACAGACATCTGCTGTCCTACCAGTGGTCCACTGCTCCAGGTGAAGGATGTGGCCCGGATCCGGTTCACAGTCTGGCCAAACAGAGCTCTGCTCATCTGAGCTGTTTTCCTCACGTCTGAGGACAAGATGGAGATCCTGTTGGCTGAAGAAGCTCTGCATGAGGCCGAGGTCGAGAGAGGCCACGCTCGCGCCGTTGAGAGTCAAGATCTCGTCTCCTGCTCTCAGACCTGCAAAGACAAAACACATCATACACATAAATCCCAACATCACCAATCATTTCATCGAGGAAAAGAAAATATTGAAATGTTACCTTGGATAAACGCCAAGCCTTTAGGATTCACCTCGCTCACATAGACGTGACTTCTCCTGGCGCCATCCACGTGACCCGTGACAGCGAAACCTGCGGAGACGTCAGATTTGATCTATGTATCTTTAGCCAATCGACACACTGGCAAATTTAAAGAAGTAATTCATAGAAAAGTAGACCTGTTTCATCATTTACTCACCAAAGTCTATGGTTGTGTCCGGACGGGACATGTTTAGGGTCAACACATTGCGAGGCCAAATTTCCAGTTCATCATAGACCTGTTAAACAAGAGCAGAACATCATTGTGTGGAGTGATACGGCAAGGTTTTTGAAATAAGTGTGTATAACAGGGAAAAAACAACAACTTTAGACCAGTTTGGACTTCTAGTCTAGTTTTTATTTTTGGAGTCAATGCTAATATATATAGCCCCGGTTTCACAGACAGGGCTTAGATTAAGCCAGGATTAGACCTTAGTTTAATTAGGACATTTTAATACATTTAAAATGCGCATCTTGAGGCAAAATATTTTAAGATATGTAAGTGCAGCTCGAACATGCATTTTAGTCTTTAGGACTTGCGAAACCAGGGGTTAGTGTTTAGCTTGAACAATCTGCTTCATAAAGTGTGTTTTAGTCTCACCAGGGTCCTCAGCAGGTCTGTTGGCGCTGCAGTGCGTCTCTCCACATCTTGTCCCAAATGTCTCCTCATGTGCAGGCAGTGAAGAGCCGGGTCAAGCTGCTTTACCTAAAAAAAACATCCATTATTATATTCATATGGTCAGCATTATGGAGCACAGAATGTGTAATGATTTATTGAATCATTTCAAAGCGACAGCATATGAATCCTGCGACAACCACAAGCTAGTGTGGAGTCTTCCTGCCACTTCATGACCCCGAACGACAGAAAATTCAGACTTTTTTTGTTCATGTGTCCAGGTCACGGTGACTGATGAATTACCTTGCACGCCAATGAGAGAACATCAGAAACCAGAGAGTCCCGTTTGACCGGCACATTGATGACCTGACCGTCCGGCATGAGCAGATAAGCCCGGCTTTCCAGACCGCAGTCCCACGGGTGACCTTCAGGTGGCGCTGGTAAATGCAGTTTGGTAAAGACGTCCAGCTTCTGCTGATGCATAGAAAATGACCAAAAGTGAATAAAGTTGAATTACATAACATTACATAAAACATTACATTGAATTTAAATGATATCCTAATAAGCGCTCTTTTTAAAAGTATGTTGGGTGTAATGAATGTAATTTTCCGTTTTGATTCCCTGTGAATATGAAAATAGATTGTCAAAACAATGTCAAGCACCATTTAACAAAATATTTCACTACAAAACCGGTTGTTAATATCGCACCAGTCAAAAATCCCACTCAAGTGCACAAGTTGTATAAATCATCAAACATGTTAGGAGGTTGTCATTTTGTTACTTCACTCTGCATTTTTCTTTCTGTAAGGACATTAAAATAACTTGACGCTGGAACACCCAGCTGAAGGAAACAAAAGTGAGGGAAAATTCCCTCCTAAGCTTGTCTCTGCTCATGCTGGGTCAAAGCCAGGTGCCAGCAACACTATTGTGGATCTTTAGCGCGTTCCTTATTCTGTGAGAGGGAGAAAGGGGGGGGGGGGTCACGTCCCTTTTCACTGACTCGACTCACACAGCTGTCACAACAACCTGCTGATCTGTTGACAGTATGCAGGGCAAACAGATCGCTGTGGAGAAGTGGCCAGAAATGGGGGAGGATCTTTCAGTGTAATTCTATTGTCCTTCAGCTGCAGCCTCAATATGGGGATTTGACAAGAATAAGATTTCTTTACAGACTTTGCAATGCTATTTTTAAACTGTTGCTTGCTAAGGACAATCTACTGATAAGATAAAACAATAGTCAAGCCGCTCTTTATGAAAAAATTAGGGGACAAAATATGTTCAATGATACAATTAATCAGAGCCATACCTATGGTTGTATTTTTCTGGTAAAAAACGTGATATTTTTTGTATGGGCAAAAAGTATTAAGAACAATGTAATTACAATAATAGCTTATGATATAATGTACCTTCAAAACGAGTACTTTCTATGGAATAATATATTTTAAAAGAATATTTTTACGAATGTAATGTTTTCTGAAATACGTAATTGCGATTGTATTATAGTGAAGTGAAAATGTATTATAGTTTAAATTTATATTAAATGTAGGGCGATTAATCGTGATTAATCGTATCCAAAATAAAAGTTAGTGTTTACATAATATATGGGTGCACTGTGTATAATTATTTTATGTATATAAATACAGACACATGCTTGTATACATTTAAGAAATATTTTCATGTATGTACTGTATATAGATTTATATATAATTTATATTATATATAAATATATTTTTTTCTTAAATATACATGCATGTGTGTATTTATATATATAGAAAATAATTATACACAGTGCACCCACATGTATTATGTAAACACAAACTTTTATTTTGGATGCGATTAATCGTTTGACAGCCCTAATTAAATGCCATTAGTTGAACTTGAGTGCTATTTTGACATACTCAAGTAGGACTGAAGTACAAACTTATATGTAATTTCATGATTACTTGAATTGTCTTTGATATATGAGTAAAGTGTAACCGAATTTACTGATGCTGTAAATCCAAATATACTTTAATTTATATTCTAAAACTTGTGTCATGACTCATAGATTTAAATACGTTATAATATTCACTTTCAATGTAATATCAATATAAATATAAATTCTACAGTTAAAATTATAATCAAGCTTTAGTATGTTAGTCAACACATCAAAATAAGTGTACTTCTTTAAACCACAACAAAAGATTATTAAAACGTGATTATTTAAAATGTACTTTTAGAGTAAATCTTTTAATATCACATTATTGCAATTTATAAAATTGTGTGTTATGAGTTATATAATCATGATATTATCTTCAAGCAGTTTTCCAATATCAGTTAATGCATTTTATTGCACTTTATTTTCACAAGGGCTAACATGGATTCTCACTTGTTACATTATGATGTGTAGTAATGTTAAAGTGGTGTAATTACCTCTGAGCTGCTTTGCGTGGATGGATGACCAAATGATCCAGAGGAATATCCTTCAAATATCTGCATCACAAACAGAACAATTTAACGCACGTCATGAGACATTTGGAGCAGCATCTGGGCTAAAAAAAGAAGGATGTTCTGAATTTCTGTGCCTTAATTAGAAGCCATCGATCTGAGGCGCCAGCTTTGATACTATTCTGATTGTAGATCACAGCAGAAATAACCTTGAGGTTTGCTGGGAAATAATGAGAGGTCTGGAAGATGCTAAAATTATAGATCTATGAAAGCTGACGGATGGATCAGCCTTAATCTTGAGGGCAGAGTGGGAGACATGGCTTCCCCTCACCCGAAACACCCATGCGTCCTCATGCTAACACATAAACACTGTGTGCGTGTACAAACACATACTTATATTAAGGATGTAGTCTATACAAACAGACAAGGGTATGCCTTGCACTCAAAGCAAAACCTGAAATATCAAAATTGACAAGCTTTGTTTGATCGGTGAAGTGCATCACTGTCTTTATAGGCAGCTAGCTACTTTCTAAGTTAGCATTCTAACTTAAATGAAACCTCACAAAGGACCTCACTGAAACACTCTTCATGAGCAACAATACAGTTAACTTCACGCTAACAGTGCTACTTGTGACGCGCACAAGTAACATGACTTTTTCTTGCACTTGCAACATCTGATGTTAGCATGTTGCTAAGCTAACAACACAATATTCTAGTAAACTCAAACAGACAACAGAAATATTGGGTAAAACATCCTTTTTATTCAGATGAAAATCCTATTTTATGAATACATTTTAGCATTGAATTCAATCTGACAATCGAAATTCAGCGGCTATCTTAAATTCTTTTTTTTCACAAAGCTTGTCCCAACGCATTCAGGATGCAATGATCCATGTCCAAACCAGCTGTATTACAATAAGTGACAAATGACACGCTATTTGTCTGTCCACACTTATCAAACTGATACTATAAGATTTTTGATGTTCAATATACAGTATATTAGAAATTAGTTACGAGGAACAGGATTTAGGACTGGGATTTCACTATTGGTTGGCTGCAAGCAACCAAGCAACCAACAAAAATATGTCCTGTTGCTTTTTATGGTCCAACAAAAACTTAAAGTGTGGTTAATGTATCTTGCAAGGCTAATTTCGATGTCGAAATTTTAACTATATTTTGTGGGCAAAAAAAGGTCTGTAGTGATGTAAAGTACTGTATGTAGCAACATTCACACGTCACTTTAAATCCAAGCAGCTTTACATTGATGAACATGGCAAATTTTTGTGACCACAACTTTAGCACAAGCGAAATCTGTGTGGGGAACTATTTCGCCCTCATTCGAAACTTGCGGTCGTGCAGATTCCTATTAAAATGACTGCAATTCGTTTGCAAAATTTGCAAATGTGAACACAACTTAAGTTGACGTTAGGATATTGAAATATCGCAAACATCACAAATGTACAAATCGCGATAGGCATAACTCAAAGGCTTGCAATAATGGAATGATATTAATACTTCAAAAAGTTATGAAAAGTGTACAAGAGCTGGACATCAACGAAACAGTAGCAATACCACAACTGAGACATTTATCTGTGGGACAACAACTCTGACTAAAGCATCTCACCCCTCTGGAAACAATCACACTGCCCCCTGTAACCCTGCTGAATCACCCAGCATCAGACACTACATCTGTGTGGTGGAAGTCTTGTGCACTCAAATCGTACGCTGTCTCTCCTCTCAGACTGCTCCCAGCTTGCAGCAATTAACCTCATGCAGCTTGTGGTAATTCCCGTCTTTGGAATCATGCACTATTAGGGGCTGTTTTGACCAGATTTGGTCCATTTAAGGATGGATCATTATGAGGCTGGAACCGCTGAGCGATCGGCTCCGATCTCACGTGAGGCCGTCTATATTAAAGCTCATGCTCTGTGTTAACAAAAGCCCTTCAGAGAAGGAATGCTGATCTGGGCTTAATTACAAGTACTGATCCAGAAACAGTATTTCTAAAACAGCTCTCAAACACTTTGACGGGAGAAAGGAACAGGGCCACTGTGTGTTTTTCTGCCATTTGACCTCTAGAGAAAGCTTTGATGAGTGGTTGTTTGTTTTATCCGGTGAGTGTGACAGTGTTTCCCACCCTGACACCTGTGGACAGCATTAACATGCTACCGTGAGACTAAATGAGTAAAACAGGCCTATGTCTTAAACGAGTATTTAGTGCTGCAGTCATAAACCCAGGCCAGTAAACCACAGGGTAAGACGCCTAATGCAAACACACTTCTTTTTGTACACATTGATTAATTTCTATTAGAATTAACAGAAGTTAAGGGAAACTACTCCTTTTTTATTTATCGTAATTATATCCTATATTGTTAGGTTTTGGCAAGTCTCAAAATACAAGGTTCCCAAACTTTCTGGCCAAACTCTCCTTTACATTCTGACTAAAGACTTGTAAAGAGAAGCGCTAACTTCAGTCTTACCTGGGACAGGGACTGTCTCTTTTCACAGTTGCGTTTGGTCAGACTGTCCAATCCCTTCTGTGAAGAAAACAGTAGTCCTCGTTTGTTCCGCATTCCTCGAGGATGAGAGCGAGATCGTCTCTTCAGGGTGGCCTCATCACGAGTGCATATCTGCACAAACACAAGCTCATTTAAGACATTTCTTGGAATCGTAATGCTTCATCTTAATTGAATTTTTGTGGTGTGTCTCAAAGGTACATTGTTTTAATGAGGTCTTTATAGGTATTTTACAAAATACCCTGAAAGCATGTGACAGATCCTCACCAGTGCATGAAAGGATGAAACGGAAAAAATTCCCAGACGACCAAGAACCAATTTAGATGGGCGTCCAGCAGTCGCTAGCAGGCTTTTTGGATTGGGCAGCTCTGTGCCCTGCAGGCTAGCCAGGTAACAGCGCATGCGGAAGAGCTCTAGGTTAAACTTCTCCAGGTTCTGTTCCCATTGCTGGATCTATGGGTCAGAGATAAAGGAGAGAGAGAAATGTGACTGAAATGCAATTGAGAAAGCTATTGACATTTTAAATATTACATAGTAATACTGAAGTTTGACTTTGGCACTTTACTTGGCATGCACGATTTGCACCTATTTAGACAACTAGATGTTTTTTAAATTGTGTGGCTTATTGAGGAAAGGAGAGATGTGAGAAGGTAACATCTGGGAGATTTTTAATTTGAAACAAAGACATAAACTATATGTGGGGGATCAGAATATCATGGAGACCTGGCCTAGGCTCTTTTGACTTAGGACAGGAAGCAATCTCCCAACCTCGCAGAACACCCAAACTTTCCACAAAAAAGCTCTAGCAACACCCAGAACACAGTAGCTATTACCAAGAATTACCTATAGCATCCAAGCAACCATCTAGCAATGCCCTAGAAATCACACAGAACATCTTAGCAAAGCAATGCTCTAACAACAACCTAGTAAATTAATGGGGGTTTCAAGTTTAAATGCATGTATCATACTCAGATATATTGAAGGCACGTGGTGTGGTTTCTATTCAAACACAGACATCAATGACTTAAGTGCCCAATTTAGCAAACCACTCTTTCTGAACTACTTGGTTTTGGCCTTTAATCTTTTAAAACAAACCACACGTATGCATAAACACCACACGCACATCCGCTTTGTTCCTTACCTGGCTCTCAATAGCCTTCCTGTTCTTCTGGTCGCTGATGACGGACAGCTGCAGCTCAGCCATCTTCTTCATTTTGCCATCCATGTCGATCTTCTGCAGGAGACCTCTGCTTTGGCTCTTCAGCAAACGTAGAGTGTCTTCCTTCCCCTGACGCTTAGCTAAATGTGATGCGCTGGCAGAGTGGATGGCTGTCACCCAGTTCTCCAGGTCTGTTTGGTTTGCAGCCTGCAGGTAAGAGGCAAGAGGTGTGAGGTAAGAGACAACATGCAGCCAAGACTCAACCATGTGGAAATGGTGTATTGTGTGATATATTATATGATAAAGGGGGCGTACTTGAAAGAGATAGACGTCTCCATAGGCATTGCTGAGGCAGAAGACATTCTCTTTCTTGGGATGCTCAGGAACTGCCTGCACAATACTGTCCTCAGCAAGCACTGCGTAATGTGGTGTGCATTCCTGCTCTGGGGAGGTCTTTCCATTGGATTCACCCAACAAAAGTGTACAGCCTACAGGAGACAGGAAACCAGATCTGAGATAGAGCGTCTAATAATGTAGAGGACACACTATCTAAGACTGACAACAGAAATATTATATTCTGCATTTAGTCACCGCTTGTTTTCAAGACTACTATCTTACCCTTAAGCGTGACCCAATACTGCCTCCACTTGCGTCTTGCTACCAGCTCCAGTTTGCGATCCTTGTGGAGGGAAATGAGGGGCTTAAAAGCCAGCCAGCCAGCCCTCCGCACAACACCTTGCTCCTTCTCAAACAGGAAGTCCATTTGCTCCAAGGAGCCCATTGAGCCATTGCTGCTCTCCCCTTCACATTCCCAGAACTGGGGTCCATCAGCAGTTCCACTGCAACTGCCAGTCTCCAGGCCCTGCATAAAGTTCTCATAGATGTTCTGCCTCAGGGCTGCACCCTGGTTCTGATGACCAAATGGGACCGTTAAGGACCCAGAGCAGTCCGCCTTTGTCTGGGAGGACATGGGATTCCAAAATGGTCTGGATTCCTCTAGTGTGCCCCCAGCTCCACAGTTAAAGACATTGGTAAAGTCCACAGTACTAGGTTCCTGAGGTTCCTGGTGCACATGAAAGAGAAGAATGAGAAGAGGATGACAAATGTACTTAACATGTACTTGTGTTACAAGGTTGACACAATGTTGTAAACCTTTTATACCCTTCTTCTGACTTTTCTCTTAACAACTCTGCAAATTATGGGCAGTTCAACAAGTATATACCCTTTTAAAACTTCTGTAAATCATTGCTTCAGAGAGGTCTGCCATCTAAGAATATTCCAGCATTGAAAAAATGTCAACTTCAACTAGAACACTGAAGAGTAGATGGAATTTTAATATGATAACATCAGCATGATTATTTTGGAGTCGAACAGGAAGATCTGCTATGCTGACAGACAGGTGCTAATCCCCAATACACCAACAAATAATTTTCTCACCTGCAGCCTCCGCTTCTTCCTACTCAGACTTCCCGTCCAGTCGCTGAGGCGGCGGATGCGACTTTTGAGCGAGTCCTTCCTTGTGTTCCCATCAGGAACTGCTTTTCTGCATGGTAGGGTCTGTGAGGTGTAATGCTGAGTTTCCCGACTCTCGTCTTGGGAGTTTGCATCCAGGGAAGAGGTCAGTGAGGCTTGGAGCTGAGGAGTGTCCTCAAGCTGATCCGCCACTTGGATGCCCACGGTAGGGAATGGCACAGTCATGTTGGGGTTTGTGTATAGATCAGATAATCCATTATGTTCCAAATGAAGGAGCACAGAGTCCCCAATACCACTGTCCCCCTCAGCGTGGTTGGTATTGTACCCATTGCTATAGGAATCACTACTTGCGTATTGACTGGCATGAACTGTGGTTTGGCAGGCGAGGCTACCCATATGATTCTCAGACTGTTCTGTAGGGTACCCACTAAAACATCCAAGGTCCATTGTACGTGTGGATGAGAGTGTGGTATATCCACTACTGTTGTCTGAAGGCTGGCTGGTGGTGAAGACGTTGTCACAAAGATCTGTTCCATTCCCCCAGGGTGAGTCATACCATGAGCCCTCAGAGCTAAGAGAGCTCCCATTACTGGCCCTCTGGGTAGCATCAACAGGTCCACTGAGACAACTGCTCAGAGACAGCTCAACATCTGGCTCCTTCCGTGCATTGGTAAACTCTACCCTCAGACTTCCATCTTCGCGAAAAAGAACTTTGGGACTGCTCTTACTGTCTTTAAGCTCAGAACTGGGGCTCCTCAGAGGGGCCTGGAGGCCTCCAGTCTGTTGTCTGCAGCCAACAAAGAAACCATTTCCCTGGAATAAAAGGTTGTCTTGGTGGCTCTCTGCACATATTTTGTCACTAGATCTCCCCTTAATGCAGTCATAATGGCGGGAGATGTAAGGTTGGCTGTTCTTGTGTGGTGAAAAACCATTTTTGGCCTTGTATCCAGACGTGCTCTCAGAGTTCCTCCACCAAGAGTGCGGGGACAGTACCTCCTCTTTTTTTTTTAGGGAGCTAGATTTTCCCTTACCAGGGATGATGAAACCGCTGTACTGACTATCTGTATTTCCCATTCTGATCTGTGAGGAAAATGGTAGCAAAACATTAAGCTGAAAGTTAAGTATCACATTCATCCATCTTCCTACCTAACTCCATATATTTACATCTGTCTAATCAGACTACATGAGTCTATCCATCCAACCACCTATCCACACACCCAAACACATTAAAACATTTTAAAAGAACAAGATTGTATAGTAGTAGAGTTAATTTTACCTGTTATAATGCCACTTGTCAAAGCACACAAAGATATTCCTTCATTTTTCTGTTAGGCGTATTCCTTTGCTTTGGTCATCCTCTTTTCCCAATGTTCTCTTTGGTCGACTTCTCTCTGTTCCTGCCTTGTGCAGCATCTGACTCTCACTGAGATCCTCCTCCCTTCACTGTCTCTCTACCACAGCTGTTCCCCTCTCTCTCCATCGCTCATCTGTGGAGAAACAGAGGAAGGGAGGGGCATGTGTCAGTAACACACAGTCGGCTCTTATGTGTGCAGTCTGCAGTGGGAAGCCCCACTCCAACCCCCAACCCCAAATCTAAACAGACCTCATGCTTCTGTCCTGCTGCCACATTCCATGACGTAGCACCACAAGCTTTTACAAGGGGAGACTTCATACAACCTCACTGTTTATTTTCAAGCTAGGAAATTCCTCACAATTTTCTTTATTTTTTTGTCTGAACCATAATGGTTGAGTAACTCGACCCCTCCAAGCAAAGTGTTTGGACTGAATATATGTTTGTGTTCGCATTGTTTTGTCTTAAAGCTGTATTTGGAAAATATCCATAATGAGCATTTTATTAGTGGCAGGATGAAGTGCTGCTGGGGAATTTTCATATCCTGTGAACGTTATTGAGGGGGTAAGGGTGAGAAGGAACTTTGGGGTGCCACAGCAGCTCGAGAGGATATGGATATGGTGGGTTGGGGGAGGATTATAAACACACCACCCTAACCATGACCTCTAACCCGAGAGTGAGCACTGAATGCCGCTAACACCATCTTCTTTCACACGACCAAGCTTCAATGAAGCAAGGAACAGTGCGCTGGAGATGCATCAGGGAGGCGGACGGCTGCTTCATTATGATAAGTACCAGCAGGCGGTGTGATAATATGCTTCGAACACTGTGGCTTTTTAAGACACGGAACACAGAAGCATCCAATGTGCTTTGTCGGTTCCAGACGGCGGGCTGCAGAGGGCTGAACCAGGGTATTGTGGGATGTGTGTCCTGTCCCATTCAGAAAAGATGATCTGAATGGCAGGCGCTCACATTGTGAGCTTCTTTGTGCATCTCACTGGCCATCTGCTGCCCTAAGGAGTGAGATCAGTCACCCTCGACCCGCGCAATTCATTCATTCCAAAAAGAAGCACAAGACTGGGCAGTGCCAAACTCTGAGCCAGGAGCGGCTATGTGATAAGTCAAAGGCACTTGTTGGATGTTTTATTATGTATCGGTATTTTCCATCTGCTCTTGACACGAAGCATCACAGACCTTTTGTGAATTAAGTCAAGCATATGTCTGCCTCTAATATTTCCCTCTTATCATATGGACTACTCTCATGCTGCATTCACACCGGACGCGAATAGCGCGTCAAATTTGCACCTAACGCGTCTAGTTTGACTCTTGACCACTTTGTGTTAATTCGCGTGTCAAGAGTGAAAGTGACGCGCGTAAAAAAAAAAAAGTTTGAAGCGAAATTTACACGCATCATGTGCGTCAGAATCGAAACCTGTTGGCGGCCATCTTTTTTATGTTGTTTGAGCATTCATCGAGAGAGTTACCACTCTATATTTGCTCTGGAGAGCATTATAGAGAGTATTTGTGTCCACCGGACCCTTCAGAGGTGAACCGTTTGGCTAGTTTCACCATTTGCTCGAGCTGAATGACGGCCACTGTCAGTGGTACTTCCACCTGTCCCGCGCATCCAGTTTGATGACCTGTTGTCCCGCATCGGAGCGAGGATCACCCTAGCCCTCATCCATCTAATCTGTCATTTGTTTTGAAGATAAATAGAGCCAGCCTCCAAAGGTTATTAACCCGTCCTATATCAAATATATTTGATTATATTTCAAATAATCTAGTCATGTAATAAACAACATTCAATACAAAATGAACATGTCTCGCATATTGAAATAAAGTTTTTAAGTGATAAAATATTTGCTTTGTTGTGCATTAGAACCACACCAGGCATTTAGTCATATTACAAAATAATTTATTGAAGCATCCAGATACTTCACCACATGAGTACACAGCTAGGCTCCTGATTGGTTAATGCGGTGCGAATTGACGCCAAAGTTCAGATTTTTCAACTCGGGCAGCATTCGCGTCAAACGCGTGAATGCACAAATAGCACTAAATAAATCATTCGTGCATAATGCGCCAGATGCGCCGCAGGATTTTTTTTACGCGCGTAAAACGTCTTTGCATTGACTTGACATTGAAATCATTTGCACCTGACGCGCTGTGAACGCACCATTATGATACTTTTTTGATTATTGTAAGAAAAATGCTCTATGGACATTAATGAAACCTTAAATCATGTGATTCTTGTGCTATTCACTTTTCCAACTTGATGATCCAACTTACAATTTTTGCCAGGTGTACAATAAAACAGGTGAAAAGTCCCTTAAAGACACAAGCCATATATCTAGAATATCATAGGGACTTGGGGTGGGCTCTTTGACTTTGTCAGCAAGCAAACACCCAGAACACTCTATAGACTTTTGCACGGTTCACTCACATATAATTCAGGGATTATAAATATTTAGTTATAAGTTAAAGTGGGAAATCAGTTTTATTGATTTATTGTTTTCATTTTAAAGTCTACCAGGTGCACATATGCATAAGACACTGTGAATGTAGTCTTGCTTCTCCAAACCAATAAGCAATCACAGTTCTGCAGCCTGATATAAAACACATGCACATCTACACTCACATTACACATATTACGCCCAGCAAACAGTGATTATGTCTGCCTGGCTCTAAGAATGAAGGCATTATAAAAGTATGTATTTTTATAAAGGACAACTCTAAGTGGTTTTGGGAGGGGTAGTTTTGGGTGGTAGAGCCAGCTGGCCGCCTGAAAGACCATCATGACTGGGCCTCTTGTTTGACCCAGCATGCCATAACTACCAGCACACCACGTTTAAGACAAACTACCACACCAAAGACAACACAAGAGCACCAAGGAGAAGGGAGAAAGAGAGAGAGACCATTGTTGGTTCCAGGTGTTAGGGGTGTGATCGCTTGATAAAAGTAATGGGTTGGATCAAAGAAACAGACAGGAAGTGTGGAGTTGCCACTGCAGTGCAGACATAGCACACAAACACACACACACACGTTGTTTGATTCCAAGATTATTTTCTGGAACATAGGGGTAATATGCGGCTCATTGAAGAGTAGACTAACCCTTGTGCAAAGAACAGGGTCTTAATTTTACTGAATCTGCATTTGTAGTGTGCTTTAAATTTTAGAGGAATATTTAAAAAAGAATATGTACTTGCAGATTATATAGGTAATATTAATGCAATAAAAGGCTACTTGAGTACACTTGTCAGTACATTTGGCAGTACACTTTTATAAAATTTCAAAGACAACATTTATGAATTTACATTTACTTAAACATGTTCTACTTAAATGGGACAAAAAGCACTCCTAAGTTCAACTACTTACGTTTAATGTAAATTTAAAGTACTGTACACTGCATGCTATTTACAATTAAATGAAAATATAATTAAATGTCCAGCAAAATTACGTTAATTTTGCACTTAAAGGAGAACTCCGGCGCAAAATGAACCTTTAGTCTAATTACACATTGCTACCTAGTCAACCGTTATCTGAGATTTGTTTTCATGATTGCCGAATGTAAATAGTTTTATCTCTAAAAATAGTTTAGCCTATAACGCTAGTATATGGGGCATAGAGTAATGACAAATAAAAATCGCTTGTTATTACCACTAACAAGGCTCAAAATAGCCCCACAGTTACACGGTAGCATAATAAGGCTCTCTACATTCAAACCGAAGCATTGAGAACTTTGTCAGTGTCCATACAGGTTAATAAGAAGATATTTTATACACAAAGTCAACTTCGCGAATACAGGAAGAAGCCATCTTTGAAAAATAGTCTCTACCAGTCGATCTACGAACGCCGATCGAAGTGCGCTGCACTGTGAAGAATCTCATATGATCCGTTGTTTCCGGAAGAAACACAAACACGAACCGTTTTCTTCTCTTCAGTACATGTAGCCTACTGTTCGCGCTCACCTTATCACCTTATTCACATCTTACCAGCGCACTTGGATCGGCGTTCGTAGATCGACTGGTAGAGACTATTTTTCAAAGATGGCTTCTTCCTGTATTCGCGAAGTTGACTGTGTGTATAAAATATCTTCTTATTAACCTGTATAGACACTGACAAAGTTCTCAATGCTTCAGTTTGAATGTAGGGACCCTTATTATGCTACCGTGTTACTGTGGGGCTATTTTGAGCCTTGTTAGTGGTAATAACAAGCGATTTTTATTTGTCATTACTCTATGCCTAATATACTAGCATATAGGCTAAACTGTTTTTAGAGATAAAACTATTTACATTTGGCAATCATGAAAACAAATCTCAGATAACGGTTGACTAGGTAACAATGTGTAATTAGACCAAAGGTTCATTTTGCGCCGGAGTTCTCCTTTAAATATACTCTTTTAAAGTATCTAATTTCCGTAATAAGTACTCTTTTTAAAAACTATGCTAATGTGTAGTTCTTTTTCACAAGGCAAATCATAGCATAATACAACACTAGGCAATACAGGAAATAGATTTTCAATTTTCTTTGGCTGCTGTTGTCAACAATATCTGATGAGATGTGATGGGCCAAGGTCTGTGTGCTTTCAGACATACAGAAGCAATTACGTAACACACCAAACTGAATATACTGTAACAGAGCATCAAAATGCTGCCAATTTCAAGAAAACTGTTTTTGTTGGCGCTAGACGGCAGTCAATTCAACAGCAATTTGTGAGAATACTGAGCAAAAGTGACAATGCCAGTTTCCATATGAGTTTTCTTTGTTGATTGGTTTCATTGATTGAACATTCCCTGGTTTTTATGTTAAGCTTGTTTGGCCTTCATCCCTGTCTGTATTTTACAGTAAGTCCTTGTGTTTGTACAGTGTCTGGTGTTGTCCTTTATGGATGTATTGCGTGCACTTAGTTGACATCATATTCGTGAACCTTGCTATTGCTAGTCACAGCAGGTGGCATTAGGTGGAGGGACATTCTAAATCTAGAGAGCACCTGATTGGACAAAAAAATGGATGCGCACATGATTGCTAAAAACATCACTATTTTTGTTCTGATTTCCTGGAAGGGAAAGGATGAGACTTCATGAAAGTGCAAAAAGTTAGTGTTGTCTATTTTTAAGTGTAGCCTACTCAACTTA